AGGGGCAGAGAATGTTGTGCTATTTTGCAGGGTAGCCTAGTTTGGTTATTTTTTTTAGTATGTGGATAACGGGTCCACAATACAGTGTCTCCCTGCCTCCTCTAAACCACCAGTGTGGGCAGAAAAGTTCTGGGACAACTTTCGTCTCAATCAAAACAGGAAGATGATGGATACTTTATCCCCAGCCCAAGCGCTGTCCCTAAGCAGAAAGGCCAGGAGAGCTAACGATGCCATACTCTTTAGTGGAGGCCTCTAGAACACAGATATAGGTAAAACTTGCTGTTTTATTTCACATGATAGATACCTCCAGGTTATGTTTATAATTGCTTGTGTTAAGAAATAGACTTTTTTTATTATTATTATTACTTTTTTCCCCCTGTCATCCAGGCTGGAGTGTAGTGGCATGATCTCAGCTCACTGCAACCTCTACCTCCCGGGTTCAAGCAATTCTCCTGCCTCAGCCTGCTGAGTAGCTGGGATTACAGGCGCCCCCCACCATGCCTGGCTAATTTTTGTATTTTTAGTAGAGACAGGGTTTCGCCATGTCAGCCAGGCTGGTCTGGAACTCCTGACCTTAGGTGATCTGCCTGCCTCAGCCTCCCAAAGTGCTGAGATTACAGGTGTGAGCCACTGCAGCCAGTCTCTTGTTATTTAATGTTGACAACATGGACACCTGTGTGTGTGCACACATACACACACACACAGTGTTTAAAAGGTGAGACAGTTTCATTCAACCACATAGACAGTCCTAGAGCACATTCACCTTCCACAGTTATCAACCTCAACTCACCTCACTCACCCCCACCCACATGCTCCTCAGATTCCAATCACCTGAAGCCTGGCCATTCTCCAAGCAAAGCCTGTAGTCTCCTGCCCTGTACCTGCCCTGCTTTATCTCAACACTAAAAGTCACCCACTCATAATTCTCTGGGCCCCTGTTACCTCTTCCTTTAAACCACCTCTAGTAGTTCCTGGCATTCATTTGGCATCTGCATCTCCCAGGCCCCAGCCGCTCCCTTGAGGCTCTCCTCAAGGCGGGACTTCAGCTCCATTCCACTCTGTCTCTGGCAGGCCTATGAGGTGTGCACTGCTGCTGTCCAAACTGTCTCGCTCTCATCTTCCCCCAAAGCAGGGGTTGTTTGGAGGGCGTGTTGCAGAAGATCCTTCATCCTGACAGGGTACAACTGCACTGCCTGCGTGAGACTGATGAGTTGGTGCATCAGGACAGGAAATGCCATTTTTCTTCACGTTTTCATCCTCTAACATGCTCAAGATTTGACTTACATGTACTGCTTGTCTGTCTCCCTTTATCGGCATGTAAACTCCATGAAGGCAGAGATTTTTGTCTGTCTTGTTCACCACTGAACCCTCAGCCACTGAGGTACAGTGCCTGGTAAAGGATAGGAACTCAGTAAATCACAATTGAATGAATGCATGAATTTGTCTCACAAAAGAGATCTCACAACAAAATCCTCTTAGTCTGGTTTTTTTTCTGTTTTGTTTTTTTTTTTCCCAAGACAGAGTCTCGCTCTGCTGCCCAGGCTGCAGTGGTGCGATCTCAGTTCACTGCAACCTCCACCTCCCGGGTTCAAGCAATTCTCCTGCCTCAGCCTGCCAAGTAGCTGGGATTAGAGGCACCCGCCACCACGCCCGGCTAATTTTTGTATTTTTACTAGAAACGGGGTTTCACCCTGTTGGCCAGGCTGGTCTCAAACTCCTGACCTCAAGTGATCCACCCAGCTCAGCCTCCCAAAGTCCTGGGATTACAGGCATGAGCCACCGCACCTGGCACTCTTAGTCTGTTTGAGAGTTTGCATCCGCATATGAGAGAGACAGGGATGAAATTAGAACTACCCTAATTGCCACAGTATCCCAGCAATTCTAGGATTCCTTGCATCCACCAATGAAAGCCCTCTAAAAATCCCAGGGGACCTGCGTATCCCCCACCAACTGGGTATCCATCCACCTGCAGACTCATACCTCCAACCTTCTGGGAACACACACAATCTTAAGATGCACAACCACTTTTTCCAAGCCTCCTCTTCACTAAATTGCCCTGAATATGTGTTACAGGCTGAACTAGGTCCCCTCCAAAACTCATATGGTCAAGTCCCAACTCCCAGTACAACAGAATTTGACTACATTTGAAGAGAATGTCTTTGAAGAGGTAATTAAGGTAAAATTAGGTAAATAGGGTAGGCCCTGATCCAGTATGATTTGTGTCCTTATAAGGAGATTGGCCGGGAGCGGTGGCTTACGCCTGTAATCCCAGCACTTTGGGAGGACAAGGCAGGCGGATCACGAGGTCAGGAGTTCGACACCAGCCTGACCAACATGGTGAAACCCCATCTCTATTAAAAATACAAAAAAATTAGCTGGGCGTGGTGATGGGCGCCTGTAGTCCCAGCTACTCGGGAGGCTGAGGCAGGAGAATCGCTTGAGCCCAGGAGGCAGAGGTTGCAGTGAGCCAGTGAGCTGAGATCGTGCCACTGCACTCCAGCCTGGACAACAGAACAAGACTCCATCTCAAAAAAAAAAAAAAAAAAAAAGGAGGAGATTAGGATGTGAAGGCATGGGGGAGAAGACTGCCATCTGTAAGCCAAAAAGAGAGGCCCCTGGAGGATGGGGCAGGAGAACCGCTTGAACCCGGGAGGCGGAGGTTGCAGTGAGCCAAGATCATGCCTCTGCACTCACTCTGGGCAACAGAGTGAGACTCTGTCTCCAAATAAAAAAAAAAAAACAGGCCTCATAGGAAACCAACCCTACCCACACCTGGATCTCAGCCACCAAAATTGTAGGAAGAAAATCTCTGTTGTTTAAACTACCAGTTGGTGGTACTTGTTCCAACAGCCCTAGAAAACTAAAACAATCTGGAAATCCCAAAGAGAAATGTTTTTGTTAAGGATGCCCAAGTAAAATGCAGGCCAGTAAACTGCTTGGTACATTGTAAGAAGGAAAAAAAAAAAAAAAAAAAGAAGAAGTAAGAAAGAAGCAAAGGCATAATGCATTGACTTTTTTTATATTTGGTATTTGTAAGTCTTTAAAAAAATGTTTTCAGGCCATTTTTTCCTTAAAAAAAAAAAAGCAACCAACAGCAATACTCTGTACAAGTATAACAAACATTAGAAATATGCATCATTCCAAAATAGTTACAAGAAAATTACAGTTTAGAGTCCACATCAACACATCCTATTCATATGTGCCCCCAAGGGAGAAAAAGCTACAGTATGTTAAACACACAGCTGCTACACAGTAGTCTGCAAACCCAGAACTTAAGACTTTTGAGGCAAATCAACCACAGTCACCGAGGCTTGTTTAGCTCAGTAAGTACAATCAAGCATTTCAAAAGAGAACCAGGCTTTTTCATCCCAGATGAAAAACAAACGCGATCGGCTGCAACGCTGACCCCGCCCCTCCATCCCTAACCCCAGGGAGCCTCTGACTCAAGAAAGCACAAATCCAGTGGAGTCAATTCGGCGGAACTCTGGCTGGAGGTCACAGTATGGCCGCGGTGGGCAGACACCAAATGTCATTTCCTGCTGGTGCCCAGATCATCACTAGATTCGACTTCGGAGGCAAAAAAGTGGTGGTTCCCGGGAGATGCTATCAATGGCCCAAATCCCCCAAACGAGCCGGCCACCCATCTTTGGCCCTTCCATTGACACCGAAACCCACACCAGCTGCTTTTCTGTATGCAACTGTCAAAGACTGAGCAGGGCCGCTCACACCATCCCCCCGATTCCATTGGACTCTTCCAATTTGAGCTCATTGTTCCTGGGAGGGGTTGAGGCAGCTCGGAGGCACCCTCCTCTTGCCTCTGACCAACCCCCAGCCTGTGTGTCCTTTATAGTTACACATGAATCTTCCCTTTTCAAGCACTGTGCTATAAATACCCTTACCACCCCCACTGGCCCTGTCCCCAGCCCTTTTCAGGATGCAGAGAAGCATCGTGACCTTCGTGTGACCTGCCCATTTGGAATCCCAGACCACTCTGCCGCAAGAGTTCCTCCCGTGATCGCTGGGGCCGCTTGCCCATTTCCCAAGCCCACACCAGGCGGAAGGAAAGAGGGTTACTGTGTTTTGCATTTTTATACAATGTGTTTACAATTATGTTGCTTTAATCTTTTAAAGGATTTAATCTTTTAAAGGATTTTTTAGCAACAAGTCCCTTCCTCTGACTTCCCGGTGGCAGTGATGTGGGCAGAGCAGAGCTCAGGAGCTCCCTGGGATTTGCCAGCCATCACAATGGTTTCAGACACATTGGAGGGGAGAGGACCACAGCCCACAGAACTGCTGCCTGAACAGGGACCTATGAATGAAGTACCGACTGCTCCGAGATCTGCATGAGTTGGAGGCAGGCCGGTGTGAAGGTGTGGGAGGAATTCGCCCACGCCCAGCTTCATGCAACGCCCCAAGGACAGTGTGGCTTCCCTGATTCACACCTACTGAGCCAAGGCCCCCTCTGAAGTTAGGTCAAGAGGGCCCGCCCTAGCCTGGCTAACTCATTCCTTTGAGGACCTGATACTCAATGAACTGCTTACTACCAAAAAAAATGCAAAGGATTCAGCAAAAAGTGCAATTTCCATTTGAGAAGTAAGATTCTCCCCAAAACATGACACCACCTTTTCATCCTTTCAGTACCTCAAAGGGAAAGGGAAATAAAAGGCATACAGCACTAACCCTCTGAACTACAGCCAGGGCGTTAAAAAGTGTGGTTCACCCTTTAGAACCCTAAAAGACCCATTAACACGTCCAGTCAGTTATCAAAGTGCCAGTGAGGTGAGGGGCGTGGCAGAGTCAGGAGGGACCAGGAGGCTGGAAGAGCCCGCTCCCATTCTCAACAGGACACACCTGTCCTGTTTACAGCAGGACGCATTACTGTGGAAACAGCCACAGGACTCCGGGGACTTGGTTATTCCTTCATAAAACCTTGTCAACTTCATTGCCTATTGGAGGTTAAACTCAAAACTTCTTCAAAATATAACCTGAGCCACAATATAAAATAAAAAAGAAGAAGAAAATCTTTTCATGTTAATGCCTTAAGAAGTTTACAGATTATGTACCAATAAAATAAATCCACATAAATTCTGAAATTCTTGGTGGACACACACCTGAAGCAAAAAAAAAAAAAAAAAAATTAATCTACATTTTAAAAATCAAAGTAATTACAGCAGCAGTATAGTGAAAAGAGGTTTTAAAAATAATAATTACATCTTTGATACAAATTCAAACTTTGTACACCTCAATTCATAGGAATGACTGTTTTTGAGAGCTTAGTATATATATATATATACAGTAGATTCCGATATGTGTCACGGCAGAGAGAGACAAAAGCCAGTGGACTTCGGGGAAGGAGGGATTCATCTGATGCTGAATTCACGCTGAAGTGTTCACAGATTGCCACGCTTCTGAACATACACACACACATACACACGGACACAGACACTTAAAATGCCAACCTGAGTAAAACGTTACTAAAAACCTAGAACATCATGAATCACTAAGTCACATATTGCACCTTTAAATAATCCTTCATACCAAATACAGACATGAGAAAAAGGATAATACAGGGACAGGAAAAGGATTTCTGTCACTGTAGGATTCCTCTGCTTCTCCCATTCCCACCCACAGAAATTCTCAAGGTGATATTTGAGTCGCCATTCTCACCCAACCAATGGGCTGAAAATGTTGCCAACAGAAGAGTCTTTGGAGAAAACTGGGAGGGAAAAAGGAAGAAAAAATGGAGCACAAATGTACAGGGGGCAGGGGACGTGGGGTCAGGGCAAAGAGGCCTCCCCTGATCAAATGAGAACAGAAATGTTACGGAGGAGGCAAACCTCTGATGCTAAACTACTGTTTAAATATTCCGTATATTCCAATTATGAGATTCAGTACAAAAATATAGATCTCTACTGAGTTTTGCCTGTGGAAGCATAATTCAGAAAAGGCACATGTTCAAATAGAAAACCCATTCGGAAGAGGCGCCACGTACCCCTCCCTGCGCAACCATCATCCACAATTAGGTATTTTCCATCGGCTAGATTCCAAGATACAGTAGGTAAAAATAGACCTCTGATACTTAAAATATATTCAACCCAACACAATCCTGGCTTTAGCATGTGAACCATATAAAATAGTCTTTTTTAAAAAAGAAATTGTTTTGGAAAAAAAAATCATAGCTCCCTTTTCCTGGTTTTCCACAATCCTCAAGGGGGAAAAAAAAAAAAAGAAAAGTGACCTCATCCCATTGGTCATCAGGAATGCAGGTGATTTGCTCCCCACCCATCCACAGCCCCCGACAGCCCCAATTTGTCATCTGTCACGCGCAGCTTCATGCCCTCAAAATTAGTTCTCACAAAACAGAACAAAGAATTAAGATATTAGACATATAAAAACATGTCGACATCGGGGCCTGTGCCTTCGCTGTGGGTGCGACGGTCTGGTTCACTCCAGAAAGGTTTCTCCTTTGGATTAGGCGATGTAACCATTGGTCTTTCCGAACGTGGTCACGGGCGCCAGGTTTTCATAGATTGTCATTGCAGTTGTGTTCTGGTAGATGAGATCTACTTTGGAGTCTTTCTGGGATCTGACAATATCCAAAACACACTGATTGAGGAAAACATACTGGTCCTGATAGAAAAAGGAAAGAGAGACAGAAAATGAACACGGGTCCCAGAAATGAGCACCCAAAATTATTTTCAAACAGGTAATTCCCCGGCCCCACTCGTAAACCCCATCCACCCAACAGCAAACGGTTCAGGTGAACGTGTTTCGAGACGTAACAGCACTGCAGTGAAATCTGAAATCACAGAAGCAAGATGTCCATCGTCGAAGATTCTCAACCAGAAGAGCACACGCCACACCTCCCCTCCCCAAGGAGAAATGCCACAGTCTCGGGGAAGGGCAAAGGAAGGAGGAAATGTAGAGGAAAGAAGGCACACGCACATTTGAACAATCAAATGTCCAACAAGATGGCCTTGGCTAGTGAGGCTGTGCAGGGTAAGAATCAACTGTTATGCCCAACCGAGGAGCGAGGTTAAAAGGAGATGATCAGGTGGAGCTGGACGAGGACTACCCTTCAGGCAAGTATATCAGAATCTGCGGGTAGTGATGAAAAAAAGGGGAAATGGGGGTATAAGCTGACACAGAAAAATATCCATTATACTGTAAGAGGAGGAAAAAAAAACACAGAGAAGCAACATATATAAAACAGGATCTGGCCAGGCGTGGTGGCTCATGCCCGTAATCCCAGCACTTTGGGAGGCCAAGGCAGGTAGATCGGCTCAGGTTAGGAGTTCGAGATCAGCCTGGGCAACATGGTGAAATCCCGTCTCTACTAAAAATACAAAAATTTGCTGGGCATGGTGGTACATGCCTGTAATCCCAGCTACTCAGGAGGCTGAGGCAGGAGAATCGCTGGAACCCAGGAGGTGGAGGTTACAGTGAGCCGAGATGGCGCCACTGCACTCCAGCCTGGGTGACAGAGCGAGACTCCATCTCAAAAAAAAAAAAGAGGGGAAGGGTGGAATGTCAAATACAGTGTGTGTGTGTGTTTGTGTGTGTCTGTGTGTGTTTACAGATGTACGTAAAGAGCCTTATAAAGATGGACACCAAACTATAAACATTGGCTACCTCCGGGGAGCAGGACTAGGAAAGGAAAAGTAAGAGAAAAATATATTGAGGCCAGGCACAGTGGCTCACGCCTATAATCCCAGCACTTTGGGAGGCTGAGGAAGGCGGATCACGAGGTCAGGAGATCAAGACCAGCCTGGCCAACATGGTGAAACCCCGTCTCTACTAAAATACAAAAAAAATTAGCCAGGCGTGGTGGCACGTGCCTGTAGTCCCAGCCACTTGGGAGGTTAAAGCAGGGGAATCGCTTGAACCCAAGAGGCAGAGGTTGCAGTGAGCCAAGATCACACCACTGCACTCCAGCCCGGTGACAGAGCAAGAATCCGTCTCAAAAATAAAAATAAAAAGAGAGAGAGAGAGAGAGAAATATATTGTCAAATGCTTTCATATGAATAAGTATTGTTTTGAAAATATAAAAAAGATTAGACTCTAGTAGCAGGGATAAGAGTTCTGTGTTTCTCAAAAAAGGATAAAAGATTAAGAAATACTACCTTATATAATCATAGCAGAAAAAAGACAATCTCTCTTTTGACCAACACAGGGGGTGAATTTCACTCTTTCCACAACAACCATCAAGCTCACCCCAGAGCACACAATGTACCCAGGCATCTAGAACATTCCCTGCTCGACTCAAAAACACAGCATATATTCATAGAGTTCTAAATCGGTACAGGACGATGGCCTGATACAAAATTAATATTCTGCTCTCATCCTGGTCAAGGAACATTCACCCCTTTGAGGAAAGCAACTTTGTAATATGTTCTCTGTTGAAAACATGCCTCAAAAACACTGCTTCTCAGTAACATTTTGGGTAAAACCAAATCCAACAGTAGTACAGAAGTTATACCGTAGATATTAAGCATTCCTTTTCTTCACTGGTCAGCCACCCTTCTGTAGCTATGATAATTGATATTCTTTAAAATGTATAAGTCTGAGTGAGGATAAATTGCTGTATTAACATTTAAGTGGCATTATATGTCACATCATTAATGTCTGATGAGTTTGTTTCATTAGCTTCTTTTAAAGATGGTCAGACCTTCTTAGAAACAAAGAATGGAAAATATCAGTTTTATGAGTTTAAAACCCAGAAGCCAAAGTTCAAAGATGTCCCAAGATTATTTAATGAGTCAGAGGCAGCAAGGTAAAGAATCCTGACACTATCTCAGATTGTAGTTCCATTACCGACATCAGTACTACTATGTCACTTGTACTGGATAACTTAATTCCGAGTCAGCTTAGAGTCTGTAAAGAAATCCAATGTTAGTTCACAGCCAACAGCCAGAAAGATCTGGAAGGGTGACATATTTTAACACGAGTGCATGATACAATGCAACCTTTTAAAAATGGAGGGGAAGGGCCAGGCGCAGTGGCTCACGCCTGTAATTCCAGCACTTCGGGAGGCTAAGGCAGGCAGATCACTTGAGGTCAGGAGTTCGAGACCACCCTGGCCAACATGGAGAAACCCCGTCTCTACTAAAAATACAAAAATATAGCTGGGCATGGTGTGCATGCCTGAAATCCCAGCTACTTGGGAGGCGGAGGCAGGAGAATCGCTTGAACCCAGGAGGCAGAGGTTGCAGTGAGACGAGATCACGTCACTGCACTCCAGCCTGGGCGACAGAGCGAGACTCCATCTCAAAAACAAAAAAGAGGGGAAGGGTGGAATGTCAAATACAGATCTTGACCTCACCTCTGTCTGCACCATTAAAGGCCTATGCATTCGAAGGTCATATACAATCCCATACACATCCACGGTGTTCTCATTCTCTATCTGGTAGATGAGACGATCAATGGCAATGAAAGTGCCCGTCCTTCCGACCCCAGCACTGAGAGAAAAGAGAAATAAGCCTATTACAGTGGGTTTCCTCAACTGCAAGCCTCTTAGAGTTCCTCATTTGTACATACATCTTGCTTTCCTTCACTGTCATACTTTGAGGGCAATGTGCAGGATCAGTACATATTTGCTCAGGTGAAGCCTCAGCAAGTCAGACAGCACTAGCTTGGGACTGGGGCCTAAGTCCCAAACTCACATTTGAGTCAAATGCCACATATACAACCCCTTGCTCGAGCTTCTTCAATCTCAGTCCCATTCAAGTTGACACCATAACCTAGGATGGCATGTTTCATCGATTTATTCCCCACTGGGCAACAGAGCCCCTCCTGTCTTCTGTCCTAAATTAATTCCTTTAGCTTCAAAACTAACTTCTTGTTAGGCGTTGGCAAACTTTTTCAGTAAAGGGCCAGAGAGTAAACATCTTAAGCTCTGCAAACCATATGGTCTCTTTCTGCCGTTGTAGCAGAAAAGCAACCATAAACAATATATAAATAAATGGGCATGCTGTGTTCCTAGAAAATGTTGTTTACAAAAACAGCAGCTGACCAGATTTGATCCATGGGTTACAGTTTGCCAACCCCTGTTTTGGAAGTTCAGGGTTTAGGGAGTAAGTCCATGGTTGCTTATCCAAACCCCTTCCTGAATTCGTACATGCCTATTACATTCCCTCTTAGGCTTTGCTTATGTAAAGTGCTGATAAATATATAATAACATTGGAAATCTGTCGCACATGACGTGCCATCTGCATACCTGCAATGCACCAGAATCGGCGATTCGGGAGGACTCTGCTTCATGTAGTCACGAACGAGGTACCGGAAGTTGATGAGCAGGTCAGTGGTGTCGGGAACACCGTGGTCTGGCCAGGAGGTGAAATGGAACTGTCTCAGAGGGTGACTCTCACTTGTCTGGATCTAAAAGCCCAGAAAATGAGTTAGATCCAGACAGAAAGGCCGCCTAACAACATCAAAAAGGCAGGGGAAATCAAGCACAGCCTGAGTAGTAACCGGGAGTTGTAATGACTAAAAATGAAACTTCACATTTGCACAGCAGCTGATAAAGTGCTTGCTCATCAAACCCTCACAATATGCCCAAGAAGGAGAGTTTATTATCCCCGTTTAAAGATAAGGCAGCAGCGATTCATAGAAGTGAAGTCATTTCCCCCACACTGATTTTAGATGCAACAGAAGTCCCTTATCCTCCAGTTCTGCGTTCAGATCCTTCCCTTCCTGACACAGCTGCCTGTCAATAATGAACTCAACTCCTTAGAACTTCATGAGCCCCATCCCCGAGCCCCCCTGGGAATGTCACTGACCATAAAACCAAAAATAATTTACTCAAATACACCATGATAATCAGTGCCTTCTGGGCAAGAATGGCCTCATAATTCACTATGCTCCCTAGAGAAGCGAATAAAGTGACAGGTCACTGGCAAGCACCATGCAAGTATTTAGAATTGGAGAGAGCTGAGAAAGGACTCCCCCAAAAAACCATCCATTTCAACATCTGAAAGACAATAGAGCTCATTATTACACAGACTGGTTCCCTACCTCACTCCAAAGCATATACCTTGAAGCCCAGAAGCCCACCACAGCTGGGGCGGGTCCTGTCCCTGACTCAGCTGTACTCGTTATGCCCATACCAGGGAATGACCATACCCATGTGACCTACATCCGCGCTGCAGGCATTTCCATCTCCTTTATGACAGCTGCCCTTTGACACTCATTTTTTTCAAATGTATATTCATGATAAGAACAATAAATCTGCAGTATTCAAAATTTGGAAAACAGCAGGAAACAAAGATAGAGTGAGGGGACAGGTGCTAGAAGACCTCATCACAGATAAAGTTAACATTCACAAATGTAACCAGAAGTACTGATCCGAAGTCAGAAACCAGCTGTGAGAGATGGAGGTGGGGGAAGGGGAAGAAAAAAGGAGGGAGAGGGAGAGGGGAGGAGAAAGGGAGTGGGAGTGGGGAAGGGGAGAAGGAGGGGGAGAGGAAGAGGGGGAAGTGCGGAGGGTTATACTTAGCATTATCTTCGTGGAGGGCCGAAGGGGCTCGGGTTAGGGGTGGTAGTCAAAAGAAACCATTAGCTCTGTAATGTTCTCAGTTTTCTAAAGGAAAATGTATTCATGCATTTTGTATAATTAAAAAATAACATGGTACTAAATGCCATATGGTGTCCTGGATCAGCTCCTGGAACAAAAGGCGGCTTTAGTGGAAAAACATGAAATCTGAATAAAGTCTGGAGTTTAGTTAATAAAAAATAATCATCATAGTAATAGCAATTTTAAAAAATGATGTGGACGACTCCACCCAAAATGCCCCTCCACAAAGGTAAGCCCCAAGCAGCGGAGGCAACCAGGGAGAAGCCAGTCCGTTCAAATGAGCAAAATCTATAGAAATAAGCATGAGAGGCCGAGCACGGTGGCTCACGCCTGTAATCCTAACACTCTGGGAGGCCGAGGCAGGCAGATCACAAGGTCAGGAGTTCAAGACCAGCCTGGCCAATATGGTGAAACCCCGTGTCTACTAAAAATACAAAAAAAAATTAGCTGGGTGTGGTGGCAGGTGCCTGTAGTCCTAGCTACTCAGGAGGCTGAGGCAGGGGAATTATTTGGACCCGGGAGGCGGAGTTTGTAGTGAGCTGAGATCACGCTACTGCACTCCAGCCTGGATGACAGAGTGAGATTCCGAAAGGGAAGGGGAAGGGGAAGGGGAAGGGGAAGGGGAAGGGGAAGGGAAAGGAAAGGAAAGGAATAAGCACGACATTTTTCTACTACTGTGAGCTGCATTATTTAGGTGGCCAGATCAGTGAATGGTAACAGCTTTGATGGCATCTCCAGAGGAGGAACTGAAATATCGAGACCAGACTCTTTGAGACACAGCAATTAGTAAAGAATTAGTACTTAATATACTATACTTTATCCATGACTTATGGAATCTTCAAGAATAATCTCATAAACTAGACCCTAACCCATCAACCCCAAAACCCACCCAAAAGATTCAAGATTCAACTCCAATGAATCTACTTTCCAGCTTTCCTTTTATGCACTACTTATAATATGCATAAATTTTCATTCTCTTACATTACATCCTACCATGTCCCCATGGTAATTATATAGTCTACCCATCCATTTTTTTTTTTTTTTTTTTTTTTGAGACACGGTCTTGCTTTGTCACCCAGGCTGCAGTATAATGGGCACAATCACTGCAGCCTCGACCTCCTGGGCTCAAGCCATCCTCCTTCCGAGTAGCTGGGACTACAGGTGTATGCCAACACACCTGACTAATTTTCGGGTTTTGTTTTGCTTTGTTTTTGTAGAGACGGGGTTTCAGCATGTTGCCCAAGCTGGTCTCAAACCTGAGCTCAAGCGATCCTCCCACCTCAGCCTCACAGGCATGAACCAGCACGCCTGGCCCATCATTTCTAATAGCTGAATAATGATATTATAAGCAGGCGAGTCATAGTTGAGTTATCCATTCTACAAAAGCTAGATGTCTGCATGGTTTCCACAGTTTTTCTCTATTATAAATAATGCTGAGACTCGTCTTTCTGAATAAGCCTTTTGTTGCATTTCAGATTATTTCCTTAGGATAGTCTCAGACTTCGAGCCAGGAAATCAAAGAGAACAGACATTTTTAGGCCTGTGATATAAACAGCAAAGAGTTACGCCAATGCACACACCCATCAACAGATACCAACACTGCTTCATGGCACTGCCTCTATTTTCAAAGCATCCTTGTAAAAGGAAAAAGGCACATAAACTTGACTTCCTAGAATGCCTGCACAATTTAATTGGATTGGCTTTTGTAAATTTTGAGGGGAAGGGAGGCCATGTGCATAAGCCCTGGAATCCTATTAATGTAACTGTTATCAATTACTTCTAAGAGCAAGTAGCCGCTCCTGATGCCATATTTCTAACCAAATAATCCACAAGGCTATGGTTTGTTCCATAAAATCTATGAGCAAGTCACCTGGAAGTGGAAAGAAAGGAAAGAGCTCCTGATGCAGAGCCATGCTCTTAAGATTCATTTTATTCAGCAATAACTTAGGAAATTCCCAAGAAAGTAAATTTCCCAGAGAAGTCAAGGGGTTGCCTTGGAGTATACATGCATATGGATTGTTCTGTTCTGAAAGGAAGGAAGCAAAACATTTCTCACTGCATAGGAAAACATATGAGTTAATATCAACCTAAAACGTATCACCCCCAAATTAACATATGGTAATTACATGAGCTCGACTGATCCTGACTTCTTACTTACGTTTTTCACTGTGAAATCTCTGATGGTCCATTCCGGAAGAACAATTTCTGATGTCATTGCCACAGTTATGTCTCCATAGTCCTGAGCCTGCTTGGAGGGCCAATACTCCTCACATTTGGTCTAGAACAAAATTGCATTTTTATAAGAAACTCAGATCGTGCCATCTGCCATCACTAAAACCTCACAAGGGAGACTAGCTATTGAAAACTGGCATCAGAGACGGAATCAGACCTTCTAGTTGGGTTTTGTTTGACTCTTCGAATTATTTTTTAGAGACAGGGTCTCACTATGCTGCCCAGGCTGGAGTGCAGTGGCTATTCACGAATGAGATCATGGCACACGACTGCCTCCAATTCCTGCACTCAAGCAATCCTCATGCCTCAGCCTCCCGAGTAGCTGGGTCTACGGGTACACCACAGCGCCTGTCAGAATTGTTTTTCTTATTTTAATTTACAATTCTTGCTAACTCTTAAAATTCCTCATAAAAATCCAGACTTATTTTCTCTTTAAAAATCAGATCTGCCTACACCAGGCCCAGCTTTCAGCATGAAAACTGATTTAGAGCAGAGCAGCTGCTGGTCCTTGACCTGGGACACCGTCCCTATCCAGCTCCCTGTGCCCCTAGAGTCGCCACTCCACAACTGTTCCCTGACCTCATCCTCTCCCATAACCCCAGGCAGCTGGAAGAAATGAGGACTTTTTCCCAAGGCTTTCCGATATACATTGGTTGCAATACAAATACACACACCAATAAAGAAAATCAAATTAAATCATTCTGGGGTCTTTGATTTCTATAAAGTTGGTGGACAGATGTGAACAGAAATAACCAGGAAACGCCTGCTCTCCAAGAATATCTGAATCCCCATTTGGCAAAAGACGACACACAGACACACACGCTCTCAACATTCTAAGGTGTGCTCTGCTGCTGGTAGTTTTCAAAGCTAATTGATTATCTGACTCACCTGAGAAGTCTGAGTTGTTTTGGGGTTTTGTTTTTTGTTTGTTTGAGACAGTCTCACTCTGTCATACAAGCTGGGGTACAGGGCACGATCATGGCTCACTGCAGCCTCAATCTCTCCAGCTCAAGGGATCCTCCCACCTCAGCCTCCAGAGTAGCCTGGACTACAGGGATGTGCCACCACACCCAGCTATTTTGTATTTCTGTAGAGATGGGGGTCTCACTATGTTGCCCGGGCTGCTCTTGAACTCCTGGCCTCAAGTGATCCTCCCACCTCAGCCTCCCAAAGTGCTGAGATTACAGGCCTGAGCCTCTGTGCCTGGCCTTGTCATGTTTAAAAAGAAATGCCTGGGTTCTACCTCCAGAGATTCGGACTCTGGCTGCGGCATCTGTATTTCTTCAAAGACCCAGGTTCCGAAGAAAGAACCCAGGATCTGAATACACACTGGCAGGGAGTTGAGTCCCAGCTCAGCCTCTTACCGGGTGTATTTTTGTTCTTGTTGCTACCTTGTGGGCAAGTTCTTAACCTCTCCAAGGCTCAGTTCCCCCATCTATGAAATCATAATACCTCACAGGGTTGTTACAGGGAATAAATAACATATAATGGAGAATCTAGTGCAGAAAATACACTCCCTTCCCCATTCACCCAGGGTCAGTAACACTCACTTCAATCTTGATTTTAGATGAACAAGACACCATTTAAATTCATCTTCATGTTCTCCATTAATGTAATTATGCCATTTTTGTTTGTCTAACAGATAGATGTATAAGAATGTTTCATGTATAAGGCCCTGGGCTCAACAGTTTTAAAAAGTTCATCTGCAGTCTTCTTTTTTTTTTTTTTTTGAGACAGAGTCTTGCTCTGTTGCCTAGGCTGGAATGCAATGGTGCAATCTCGGCTCACTGCAACCTCCGCCTCCCGGGTTCAAGCCAGTCTCCTGCCTCAGCCTCCCAAGTAGCTGGGATTACAGGCACGCACCACCACGCCTGGCTAATTTTTGTATTTTTAGTACAGTTGGGTTTCGCCACATTGGGCAGGCTGGTCTCAAACTCCTAACCTCAGGTGGTCTGCCCGCCATGGCCTCCCAAAGTGCTGGGATTATAGCTATGAGCTACCACACCCAGCCTATCTACATTCATTTAAAAAACACTTTTGCTGGGCGTGGTGGCTCACGCCTGTAATCCCAGCACTTTGGGAGGCCGAGGCGGGTGGAACATAAGGTCAGGAGATCGAGACCATCCTGGCTAACACAGCAAAACTCCATCTCTACTAAAAATACAAAAAAAATTAGCCGGGCGTGGTGGTGGGCGCCTGTAGTCCCAGCTACTCAGGAGGCTGAGGCAGGAGAATAGCGTGAACCCAGGAAGCGGAGCTTGCAGTTACCGAGATCACGCCACTGCACTCCAGCCTGGATGGCAGAGCAAGACTCTTGTCTTCAAAAAAAAACCAAAACAAAACAAAAAACAAAAACAAAAAAAAAAACGCTTTTATTTCTACTATAGCCTATTCTCCTGATTCAACAAGAGGGTAAGGAGCCCACCCTCTATCACAAGCAACATGAGGATAGGCGTCATCTCTTACTGCTCTGTTATCTTTTCCTCCTCCATCCCCAGCCCCTAGCACAGGACCTTACATACACCAGGGGCTGGATAAACATCTGCTAGCCTATAATGAATTATAGAACATTAAAAGAAATGATGCCTGATGGGCTCCCACTATCCCGGGGACAGCACCACTCCAAGTGTGCACCCTGGTGCCACAGCAGCAGGATCATCCAAACACTGGCAGAAATGCAATTCCGAATTAGAAACTCTGAGGATAGAACCACCCTCCTGGTGATTTCTGATGGACGCTAAAGTTTGAGATCCACTGGCTTAAGAAATCGACTCCTATTCCTCAAACAATGAACCTACACTAAAAAACAACTCATAAAGCAACATTAAGTCCCATTCCTAAGGCACAGCATTTTTTAGATTAGCATGTGTTTTTCAGTTCTCTTCACATCAATTTATGGAAATATAGAATTTTATTACTATAAAAAATCTTGGCCAGGCGCAGTGGCTCACAACTGTAATCCCAGCACTTTGGGAGGCTGAGGCAGGCGGACCACAAGGTCAGGAGATTAAGACCATCCTGGCCAACATAGTGAAACCCTGTCTCTACTAAAAATACAAAAAGTAGCTGCACATGGTGGTGCCTGCCTGTAATCCCAGCTACTCGGGAGGCTGAGGCAGGAGAATCGCTTGAACCAGGGAGTCAGAGGTTGCAAAAGCCAAGACTGCACAACAGCACTCCAGCCTGGCAACAGAGTGAGACTCCATCTCAAAAAAAAAAAAAAAAAATATATATATATATATATAAAATCTTTGATGGAAGCAGCAGAGGGATTTCAGGGCGTTACAGGAGAGAGGGGGCTGCTGAGGCTTATCCAGGGATAAGTCTGAGATTTTGCTTAAAGAAAGGGTTCCAGGCCAGGTGTGATGGCTCACGCCTATAATCCCAACACTTTCGGAGGCTAAGGAAGCAGGGTCACTTGAGGTCAGGAGTTTGAGACCAGCCTGGGCAACACAGTGAGACCTTGCCTCCACTAAAAACAAGAAAAATTATCCAGGCATGTGGTGCACGCCTGTAGTCCCAGCTACCCGGGAGGCTGAAGCGGGAGGCAGCCCACGAATTCAAAGCTGTAGTGAGCCATGATCGCACCACTGCACTCCAGCCTGGCTGACAGAGGAGACCATGTCTCAAAAAAAAAAAAACCCCGGGGGGGCTCAGTGCTGAACCTAAGTTTGAAAATCATCGAGCTGATGGAAACCCTCATCTCACAGATGAAGATACCGGTTGCTTAGAGACATGATGGGCTTGTCCGTGTTCACGGGGCCAATGAAGGACAGAGCCACACCGTCAACAGCATCTTGCACTAAGCCTGGGAGATTTTTCCACGGCACTAACCCGTTCCTGCTTACTAACTCCAGCCACGACGTAATAAATAGAAGACACTGATATTTGCCCACACAAAAAAAGATAATGACAAAATTGTTTAAAGAATGTTTTTAAACGTTTCTCTTAAGGGGAAAAAAAGAAAACAAGTTTATAAGAATAAAGTGCTAATGTCTGAGGTTTTTTTTTAAAGAAACAAGTGGTTTTTAAGATACCCCTCTGCCACAAAAGAAAGCAATTAATTTAATGTAATTTTAAATTTCAAAAACTAAAAAACATACTTACTCTTCCCTGTTCAACACATTTGGTCAACATAATGATGGCATATACATTTTTCTCCCAAACCATACGCCAAAAATCTTTCAAAGTGTTCGGTAAAGGTCCTTGCGTGGCAATAAAATCTTTCTTGGAGTGGTAGCCCTAAAAATAGGAAACAACACATAGTCAACTTCAAAGAAACAGAAAGAAGCAAAGCGCTCTGAAGATTTCATCAAAACCATCCAGTGCTGCGAGACCATCCCCCAACTTACAGGCATGTAGTTGGCATTGATGTAGTCGTCCGTTGAATGGGTCTGGACCGAAAGTTTGACACGGGAAATATCATCTGTGACATTAAAAGAGAAAAGGTCCGCATTATAAGCAAACGTTTTAGTAAAGCTGGACACAAAACAGAAAAAAAAAAATGAAATTCAAAATGGCAACACTGGGACTTGTGTCTTTGAAGATGCACAGCATGGCATTTCACATAGACCACCTCATTTAATCCTCATGGTCACTCTATGTGACCATGGCACAGAACAGTCATACTATCACAGAGCAGAGCTAATGAGTGGCATGGCCAGGATTTGAACCTGCAGCCTGACACCAGGGCCCAAGATCTTAACCACACCAGACGCCTTCTCACATAAAATGAACCTGTTACTATTAGCATCCTCAGGGGTCTACCATGAGCTCACATGAGGGAATATGCTAAACAATTTTATTTACTCCTCAAAACCACCCTACAAGCCTCTGCCCTGTTTCACAGATGAGGAAACTGAGGGTTATAGAGATTAAGTGACTTCTCCAAATCCATATATCTGGTGAGGGGCAGTCGAAATTCAAATCTAGTGCCCCTTCCACTAGGACAGGTTAAGTCCCTAGGTTAACCTTTCTACTCTGCCTCTAGCCTCTATTCTCATACAAACAAGTTGTTATAAAAAGAGAGTACCAAGTTCAAGAATAAATTGAATGTATAAGACTACTATCAGTAGGAGGATCTAAAACACAGAATTATGTTTTATAAGTATTATTGTCATCTCAAAAGCATACACACAAACTTGCCCAACCTAAGAGATGAAATAATAACCTTAGAACTGCGAGTGTCAGGCTGAGCCAGAAGCAGCACCACCTGAGTCTCCCTGCCTCTGATTGTACTACCTCACCCTCCTCTGGACAAAATAACATAACAATGCTAAGTCTAGTACTGACCTGAGTCTCAGCCTAAAGACTTCCCAATAAAAACAATACCCAAACACCCACGTCCCAGCTCCCACTCCAGATCTGAGAATCTCCACAGACATTCACAAGAAGAAGCCGATAATCCCAAATTACCCTTAGAAGGGCAATACCCTCAGCCTAGTTTTAAAAGCATTTCTCTCAGAACATGGGCCGATATTCCTTGTCAAGTACAGGGAAATAAGTGGAGAGAAAGAACCCAAGAACAATGCTGAATTTAAAAAGAACTTAATGTTTTAGTCCAGGAATGAAAAACACAGCTTCGAATAAAGACGATGATGTCCTGATGTAAAAATTATCTGCAAAGTCTATCAATTTCAGCTACATCAGAACATGGCTACAGTCTACTCATGCTCCTCTCTGTGCCCTAATCCCCACCCAAAAGAGAGATCACGATGAACTTTCGATGGAGAAGTATTTACATTTCATCTAATGGTTTGATGTAATAAATAATTCTCATTTTAAACTCAATTTGCTGTTATCCCTGTTGACTAAGATGCAGACATTCTCAAAAACAGGAAATGAGCTAAATATAATTCATACTTAGCTGTGGAATTTATTCAGCCCATGTGTCTGGACACAGAAAAGTGTGACTCCCTGTCTCGCTCTGCTCGCTTTCATTCCAGAATTATAGAATTGAAATAGTTGTGAGACAGAGGGGTTAAGAACACAGACTCTGGCCTTTTCCCTCAATAAGACAGACCTAGTACAAAGCCTAGTTTTCCCGACACTACCTGTGTAACCTTGGAAAGATCACCTAACCACTCTGTGCATTTTCCTTATCTGTGAAACAAATATTCTACTACCTACTTCATAAGGCTGTTGTGAGGATTAAATTAAAGATAATGTACCTAAATATAGTGCTTAGCACATAGTAGGTGAATAACGGATGGTTGTGGAAGTAGGTGACTAATGAATAGTTGTGGAAGTGGTTACTTAGGATCACTGATTCCCTCCCCTCTACAGTTAGAGATGTGATGGCCACTGACGGAAAAGAGAGAAGATGCTGTGGATAAAATAACTTACAGGGCAGAACATTATTATAGCGATTCTTTCCTCTATTCTCAGCCAGTTCTGCTGCGTATTTAGGTTGACTAATTCCAACAAGCTTCAGATCCTGAAAACAGAACAAATGAGGTGTTCATTTATTTAGTCTTCAAATATTATTCATATTTAGCATAGCATATGATAGTGAAACCAGCCCAACAGTCCCATAGACAAGTTGTTTTTGAATAAACATAGAAATTTATCCTTCTTCTATTAAAGCCTGTAACTTGTATTTATCTGAGTTCCTTTCTCAGGAAAGGACCTTCAGGAAGTACCAAAGAACTGAAACTAGTCAGATCACTGTACCAGATGCCTCCTTGCCCCTCCCTAGTTCCTGTTTTCTTGCACATTGTTACATTTCTTTCCTGCTATATAAACCCCTAGTTTTAGTCTGTCAGAGAGATGGATTTGAGCTTGAGCTCCCATCCTCTTGGCTGCAGCACCCGATTAAAGCTTTCTTCCCTGGCAATATTTGTTGTCTCAGTGATTGGCTTTCTGTAAAGGCAAGGAGCAGGACCTAGACCAAACCCGTAGTGTTTTGGTAACAACAGAACAAAGTGGAAATGTAGAGGCGATATGGCTTAAATTGTACCCCAAAAAGACATGTTGGATTTCTCACCCCTAATACCCATGAGTGGGATCTTATTTAGAAATAGGCTCTTTACCTATGTAAACAAATTAAAATGAGGTCATACTAGAATAGAGTGGGTCCTGAATCCCATATGACTGGTGTCCTTATAGGAGGAAAACAGACAAAGAAACATAGACACATGAAGGGAGATGGCCATGTGAACACAGAGGCAGACATGAGAGTGTCGCTGCCACAAAACTAAGGGACGCCTGGCACCCAGAAGCTGCAGAGGCAACGAAAGATGCTGCCTAGAGGCTTAGGAGGGAGTGTGGCCCTGCCCACACCTTAATTTGGGATTGTGGCCTCTAGACAGTAAATTTCTGTTGTTTTCAACCTCCCAGTTTGTGGGGCTTTTTTATGGCAGCCTAGGAAACTAATACAAAGGTTAAAATATAGAAAAAAGGTTAAAATATAGGGAAAACTGCCTTCAAGCAGTTGCAACCTGGAGGAGAGGTGTACTGTACACAGAAAAAACTAACATTACAACAAGGCAGAATTAAAGAAATGCTGAATATTGATAACAAGCAACAGGGGAAACAAAGCAGTGTGAGTACACAGAACTCAAGTTCTCCTAATGGGATCCCAGAAAGCCCATGGAGGAGGCAGCATGTGCACTGTGCTGAGTGCTGAGCAGGATTTCAAGAGAGCAAAGGCAGAGATGCTGGACAGGGCAGCACATGAGGACGAGTGTGCATGGACACTCTGAGCAGGGCTAGTTCCTGGGCTGGTTGGAGCACAGCAGAGGGAACTGAAAGGCAGACACTGGCCAAGAAAGTCGTTGTACAGGGCTTCATGTGAGCCTCACAAGCCACCCTAGGCCACACTGTCATCAAGCCCCAGACCACTCCATGCCCATTTGGTTTCTTTCCAGCTCATATAGTTTCCTAAGTAGTGTGGCTAATAGTTCCCTGACTTGAATTCCTAGTTTCTGTTAACAGTTTTCTAACTTTCAGGAAAAACAAGCCAATTTCTAAGGAAAGTGGCTGTGCTTCAGTCAGGAGTAGTCCAAGGTAGACATCCAGGACAGTATGACACAACAGGTTTGAAGCGCAGGTGCACAACCCTGAGGTTATATAGCCATTTAATGTAACCTGTTTGGGTGAGTTCATACCTGGCTTTGAGCCACTATTACCTGTGAGCAATATAACTGCACTGCTGACTCTGTAGGAGAGAGAATAAAGCCATGTCCCAACTGCCTACAGTCCCTCAAGTCCTTCAGCTACCTGCCATCCGTCCACCAACTCCCCTCGGACCCCAGCTTGGGTTAGAACCTGACACAATTAAAAACACAGTATTTACAGCAACGTACTTCATATTCCTCTGCGAACCCACAGTTGGAGTCGGCTTGCTGCTTCTTGAAGTAGGCCTCAAAATTCTCCACTCGGATTAACTTAGATCTAAGAAAACAATACTTATCAGGATTTTTTACATTCAATGAAGTCCATATTCAATAGAAAAGTACAAGTTGTTAAAAAAAAAATAAAGAGATTACTCACTTTTTGGGTCTTCATGATAGAAAGGGAAAGAAAAAAATAAGCAATTAGAAAGACTCATTCATACTCTAGAGATGACAGTAAACAATCTTCCCAAAACAACAAAACCCAGGGTATAATTTGGCAAGAGGGGATCAGAGTACTAGTATTCACAAAACACTAAAATATGAATCAGGAAATCTGATTTCTGGACTCTACTTTGTAAATAATTGGTTTTGTGACTTTAAGTAAGTGCTTCTCTCCCCTGGATCCTGATAACCTATATGACTTTTTTAAATAAAAAAATATGTATTTATTGGTAGAAGAGTAGAACATGTCAAGGAAGCTAGCTTCAGGAGACTAATAAAACATAGATTCCTTGCAGAAAACAGAGTTAGCAAAAACTTCCAGATGATCATGGTCAAAATGTGCCAATCAGGAAAAATGACAGCAAGTTCCATCAAAAATTATTTAGAGATAGTCACTGAACAGATTGGAGGATTTAAAATAAAGCTCATAATTTGAGAGACTTACTTAATTTGAGAAAAGGACACTTCATTATTCTTTGCATCTTTCCTGTTTTAAGAGAAAAGAGACCCATTAGACAAAAAAGGATTCCTTCCTGTGCTTTTCCCTTGCGTATCTGGAGTTGATGTCACCTATGAAATAAAGGTGTTACACCTTTTCCTCGGGCATTAGTTCACAGATGACACCAAATCCTGCCCCCTAATACTAAACTTAATGACCCAAGCTGCAAATGCTAATTATAGATTTGTGAAGTTATTTTCTTTTGTACTATCTACAAGAATGAAAAAAATCATATCCAAGTCACTTTTAAGAATTTCCTTGCAAATATATAGCAGTGACATTACTTTAATATAAAGCAAGACTTGTTATTTCATACTTTGCTTTTGAGAAAGCTCTTCTGATAAATGAATGCAATAAATCAAAAAACATATCAGATCCAGAACTGGCAAGTTGGTGAGGCATCTGCACACTCCTGCACTATTGACTCAACTCTGCATTGGTGTTTAAGAACAACTTTCTGGAAGGCAATGTGGCAGTATGTATCAAAACTGAAAGCATGCATACCCACTGACCCAGCACTTGCCTAGCTTGGAATTTAGCCTAAGGAAATAATCGTGAATGTGCCCAAAGATTCAGGCACAAGGATAAGTAACTGTGGCCAAGAAAAATTTTAAAAAGTGGAAACACCTAGGAAATTGGCTAAATAGATCATGGTACTTCCATACAGTTGAATACTTTGTAGCCACTTAAAATGATGATGAAATGGGCCAGGCATGGTAGCTCATGTCTGTAATCCCAGCACTTTAGGAGACCAATGTGGGTGGATCACCTGAGGTCAGGAGTTTGAGACCAATGTGGCCAACATGGCAAAACTCCGTCTCTACTAAAAATACAAAAAAAATAGCCAGGTATGGTGGCAGGTGCCTATAATCCTAGCTACTTGGGAGGCTGAGGCAGGAGAATCACTTGAACCTAGGAGGCAGAGGTTGTACTGAGCCAAGACCGTGCCACTGCACTCCAGCCTGGGCAACAAGAATGAAACTCTGTCTCAAAAAAAAAAAAATAATGATGAAATGAAGCTGCCAACAATGTCTAAACTGAATAAAGCAGGCTAGATGCTAACATATAACATGATTCCATGTGTGTGCACACATTTGTGTGTGAGTTTGGTCACATCAAAATGTTAAGAGTAGTTTTGTGTGGGTTCTGCAATTGCGGATTTCCTATTTATTTGTGCTCTTCTTTTCCGTATTTTTTGCCATAAGCATGTATTACTCTTATTTTTAACAAGAAACAATAAAACTGTTTTACCCAGCCACTGACTGATCCATCTCCCCCGCCCAAAATCAGAACCTAATCTGGCAGGGCGCGGTGGCTCACGCCTGTAATCCCAACACTTCGGGAGGCTGAGGCGGGCGGACCCCTTGAGGTAAGAAGTTCGAGACCAGCCTGGCCAATATGGTGAAACTCTGTCTCTACTAAAATCACAAAAATTAGCCGGGTGTGGTGGCGGTGCCTGTAATCCCAGCTACTCAAAAGGCTGAGGCAGGAGAATCACTTGAACCCAGGAGGCAGAGGTTGCAGTGAACCGAGATCATGCCACTGCACTCCAGCCTGGGGGACAGAGCCAGACTTCACCTCAAAAAAAAAAAAAAACACAGAACCTAATCTAAAAGTTGGAGCATGTGCCCCCAATAGGGTGGGGTGGCAGCACAAGGAACCGGCCTGGGCCGCATGAGGACCCCTGGGGCAGGACGGAGATTCCCTGGTTGGCAGCACCTTACAGCAAAGAAATCCCAACTAACACACACAGGCTTCCCACACTGCACAGACAAGAGGGCGTGCCATGAAGTACAAGGATCAGGTTCAAGTTCTATTTCCACACCTCCCGACTCAGCTTCTGCATCCGTGGAAGGGACTTACCGGACCTCCCTCGCAGAGCCTCATGCATGAGATAATTCATGGAAAGCACAGATGCAGGCACACGGTGAGCACTCAAAAAAGGGCTGCTACTTTTACCATTTAATGACCTCATAGGGTAGTTGTACAGATAAAATAATAATAAGAGCATCCAAGGTACAAGACACTGAGAAGTGCCTTATTCAATCCTCCTTTGCTTCACAACTTAGGCACAATGATTATCCTCCTATCATAGACGAGGACATTAAGGCTAAGCTTCCTAAACAGCTGGTCAAAGACAGAGCTGGTGTTCAAACTTAGCTACCTCTAAAATGAAATCTCTTAACATGATAATACTACGAAACTGACTTGTAAACAAGAATATATCGTTTCAAAGTAGCATCCCACACTGCTGCATCTATCAGTGGCCTGATGTGACAGCTGGGAGCACATTAACATCACCCAACTGGGGGCACAGAGGAAACACGATTGGCCAAATGCAAAAGACTGTGGGTGAAGGGAACATGGCACTCATGATATCATTCCTTCCGATTCTGTGAATGTTTGAAATGTTCCTCAATAGAAAGCTTCCTTAAATACCAGAGTATTATTATTAGCATCAGCAGTATCACCTCTTCTTTCTCCAGAAGATGAAGCCTCCCACAGTCACAATAACCAGGGCACCAAAGATACAGCCAAAAACTGCTCCACAGATGACACCTGAGAAAAGTCAAAACAGGAGACGCTTGAAGAGGTGATCGTGCAGACCACATGACGTGCTAACAACCAGCCAGGGACCCTAACACCAGAGGGTTCAGGTATGTGTGGCATACACACGCATGCATGCGCGCGCGCACACACACACACACACACGTGCACACACACAAGAGTTAAATAGCTTGGACCTAAAATTAGTCCATGCACACGGAAGCCAGGTTCCTATTCCCAACCCACTACCACCTGGATGGTCTTGAGAAAGCTACTGCTCCTTGCCAGGTCTCAGTCTCCTCAACTGCAAATTTAGGGAACTAGGCTGGATTTTCAGGGATTTTTCCTGCCACCTCTGACGTGTTGAGACTAGCACCCACATATGAGCAGAGGTACCTACAGCAGCATCCATGCTCAGGAGACAGGAAACCCACTGGTTTACTGGAGAAGGATGTGGGGACTCCCTAAACTTTGCTTCTGGGACAGGCATTCTTTCCTGCACCCAACAACCACCAACTAGGAAAAAAAGCAGACAAACTAACAAGCCAGTCAGTCCATTCACCTCTGGCTTGAAGGTAGGGGATGAATCCCTCTTGGATCCCTGAAGCTCCTGTATCACTTAGGTCTATGTGATAAAGGGTAGAAGCACTTGACAAGGGTCCAAGACCAGAATTTCAGGCCTGCCTCTAAAGCCACCGTGTAACCCTGGGCAAGTTACTTCCCCTCTCTGGGCCTTAAGAGTCTCATTTCCAAAAAGCCGGCAGAGCACAGTGGCTCACGCCTGTAATCCCAGAGCTTTGGCAGAAGGTGGAAGGAAGCTTGAGGCCAGGGGTTCGAGACCAGCCTGGGCAACATAGCAAGACCCCATCTCTACAAAAACTTAGCCAGGCACAGTGGTGAGCACCTGTGGTCCCATCTGGGAGGCTGAGGCAGGAGGATCCCTTAAGCACAGGAATTCAAAGTTACAGTGAGCTATGATCATGCCACTGTACTCCTGGGCAACAGAGCAACACTCTGTCTCAAGAATAAAATAGATAGGCTGGACATGGTGGCTCACGCCTATAATCCTAGCACTTTGGGAAGCCAAGGTGGGCAGATCACCTGAGGTCAGGAGTTCAAGACGAGCCTGGCCAACATAGCTAAACCCCGTCTCTACTAAAAATACCAAAATTAGCTGGGCGTGGTAGCAGGCACCTGTAATCCCAGCTACTCAGGAGGCTAAGGCAGGAGAATTGCTTGAACCCAGGAGGCAGAGGTTGCAGTGAGCAGAGATCGCGCCACTGCATTCCAGCCTGGGTGACAGAGGGAGACTCTGTCTCAAAAAAAAAAAAAAAATCATAAAATAAAATAAACAAATCAATAAATAGAATTAAAACTATGAAGTAAAATAAATAGGATTGAACAAGACAATTTATGTGGCTTCCTCTGATTCTAATATTTAAGGATTCGATGCATTGTGTCAAACTGTGCACCTGGCACATGAGGACTCAATCATCTTTGCAGGTTGGAAGAACAACTGGCACTTAGAGAAGGGAGAGTGTCGGGTTTAGGCTGTGGGACCTCAGAGGAGGAAGCCCACTGAGCCCGGTGACCCAGTGACATCTCAACCTCTGGGAGGGGGGAGTTGGGCACACCAATCCTCCTGAAGGTCTGAGGGAGGCATGCACACAGCTGGCCTTCTATGGACACGTGGAGCAAAATGCCACTGAACCGGTACCACGACTGTTGTCTTCTCCCTACCTGGATCCTGGGGCAAGGAAACAGCATCTGAGTAGCGACTGAAGGACACGTAGCTCTCAGCCCCATCGATGAGCCCGTGGTTTTGAGGGTGGAAGGTAATGTTGGTGAAGCCAGCCACACAAGCCCTGTGGGATGACAAAGAGCAAAAAGAGGTCCCTGAGACGTGTCTGACCGCAGGCACGGAGAGCTTTATGCTCATGAGGCTCAGCCCCCAGAGAGCAAGAACCAGAAGACATTACCGGTAGGAGCCCAGAGGTTCCAGCTTCCCATTGTAATAGCCAAGCGTGGTTGACTCATTCCCAACATCAATTTCATATTTCAAAACTTCAGACAAGCTCTGAGAACGTCCCTTTTCTTCTGTTCTGATCAGGTATGTCACGTAAGTATCTGAGGCTCCCTTTTTGAAATCCTCATACGTGTATTTCAGGACATCTGCAGAAGGGTGACCAGCTAAGAAAGGTACACAGAAGGAGAATCATAAGAAAGTGACGGCAGAGAGACGACTTCTCCTGCATGTCTACATGGTGGTGATGCTGGGTGATAGTGATACCAGCAACCACCTCTCAAGTATCTCTCTGTGCCAGGGTTGACTCACGTTGAATTCTAAGGACTTCACCTACAGTAACTCACTTTATCCCCATGAATCCCATCACATAAGCTTATTGTCTCCATTTTACAGACAAGAAAACGAAGGTACAAAAGGCTAACAGGACCAGGCACAAGGTCACATGGCCTAGGATGCAGAGGTGGGTTCCCAATCCAGGGCGTCGGGCTCAGAGCCCAAGGTTTCATCCAATCACAGACCAGCAATGGTCTGTCTGGCTGCTATGCAACATGGCCTTCCTCGATGGACTTGTTGACAAGCATCACAGCAGAATGACTAAGAGCTGGAAACAGACCCAAAATGAAAAGATAGAAAGAGAGAGAGATTTCCACCTCACTTTTTGAAATTTTGCCACAGGTTATTGCACCAGCAAATTTCTATCCTCCCAGATCCCCAACCCCCTGACAGTGTGTTTGGTCTCTATGCTCCTCGAGGAGATGAGGACAGCACCACAGTGGGAGAGAGTGGGCAGAGGAAACACTGCATTATTCATGCATAAAGCATCCCCTAGACCAGGCACAGAGGCTTATACTTGTAGTCTAGTCCTAGCACTTTGGAAGGCCAAGGTGGGAGGATTACTTCAGTTCAGGAGTTCAAGACCAGCCTGGGCAACATGGTGAGACCTTGTCTCTAAAGGAAAGAAAGAGGAGAGGGCAAGAGAGGCAGAAGGGGAGGAGGAGAGGTGGAGGGGGGAGAGGAGAAGGGAATCCCCCACAACAAACTTGGGGGAGCGCTGGGGAAGGAAATAGGAGAAAAGGCAGGAGGAGGAGGAGGAGGCGGAGGAGGACGGAGGAGAGGCGGAGGAGGAAGGAGAGGAGGAGGAGGAGGCGACCAGGAGGAGGAGGAGGAGGGGACCCCACAAACAAAACTTGGGCTTTAAATCTAGGGGCCTGGGGCCAGGGCAGGGCTCACACCTGTAATCGCACTTCTTGGAGGGCGAGGGCAGGTGATCAGAGTTCAGGAGATCGGAAACCCATCCGGTAACACAGTTGAACCCTTCTCTATTAAAAAAAAAAAAAAAACTTACAAAGAATTAGCCCAGGCGTGGGCGGCGACGCCTTATAGGTCCGCTACTCAGGAGGGCTGGAGGCAGGAGAATGGCATGAACCTGGGAGGTGGAGCTTGCAGTGAGCCGAGATCGCGCCACTGCACTCCAGCCTGGGCAACAGAGCGAGACTCCGTCGCAAAAAAAAAAAGAAAAAGAAAAAGAAAAAATCTAGGCCTTATGCAAGCACTCAAACACAGCTACCAAAGAGATTCTCGAATTATTCCTTTCCTACCACAAAAAAATGTAACAGAGCCCTTTAAGGAAAAGCAGCCTTTAATCCACCTCTTCTCTCAGCTAAGGAGATACTCTGCAAATTCCCACTAGCAAATGCAAATCTTTTTCTATTTTCTTTCAAAGGAAATTCATCTGCTGAGGATGGCATGTGTGTACGTGTGTGTTGCGAGTGAGAAAGAGAGACAGAGTTGGTTAAAACGAATATTCTACCACCTAAAAGGTCCTGTGATGTAAAAGAGAAGAAAAACCTAGATCACAATCAGCAAGTTATGGGCCACAAACCAAATCCAGCCACCTGCCATGGTAAATAACATCTAGTGGGAATGGCCCCACTCATTCCTTCCGTATCTTCTGTGACTGCTTGCACACTACAATGGCAGGGTCGAATGCTTGCAACAGAGTCTATACCACCGGCGAAGCTTAAAATATTTGCAATCTGGCCCTTTCCAGAAAGCTTGTCAACCATCAGGCAAATACCTCACCCTCCTCCTCTGTCTGAGTACACAGCATGGGCTGCAGTGAGAAGACAGGAGTGTGTCTGCATCACTCACGTGCCTCAGTGGGCACAGAGAAAGCTCTGGTCACTGCATCACTCACGTGCTGTTTAACCCACGGAGGCCTCTCCTTACCTTCCCCAGTGGTGAGAATGACAGCATAGGCTTTGATGGGTCCGTGGCTGGCTTCAAATCCACTGAACTTGACCTTTACTGAATTGTGACTGACAGATGTAATATTAGGGGATCCATCTGGAGGAGGGGGATCTAAAACAAAACAAAACACGATCACCCAATATTGAAAACCAAAGCAACACATTAGGTAGAGAACATGCTTCTGCGACCTCCTCAAGATCTTACTCTGGAAGCTACATGCTGGGTTCTGCAAAGCAGCAAATCCAGAAGCAAAAGCCATGGAGGGAAACTGGTGAGGAGCAGAGACAGCAGATCCTGGGAAACCTGCCGAGCTCACAATGACCCCTTTAGGGCATCCAGCCAAATCCCCAGGGCAGGCACCCAGCAGCCTTGTTTGGTTTTGCTATTGTTGTTTTGAACTGTGCCTGCTTTTATTTTATTTTTTGACAGATTGATTGAAATATAATTAAAATACAACCAAGGAGATGAAAGACTTGTACAGTGAAAACCACAAAACATTGATAAAATAAAGAAGACACAAATACATACAAAGACATCCCATGCTCATGGATTGGAAGACCTGATACTGTTGGAAGACTTGACACTACTCAAAACGATCTATAAATTCAATGCTACCCCATCAAAATCCCAATGGCAATTTTTACAGAATATTAAAAAAAAAAAAAAATTCTAAAGTTCATATGGAACAATGAAAGACCAGGAACAGCCAAAGTAGTGTTGAAAAAGAATAAAGCTGGAGGCCTCCCACTTCCTGATTTCAAGATCTATTTATTCAAAGCTGCAGTAATTATAACAGTATATTACAGGCATAAAGACAGACATCAACCCACAGAACAGAATACTGAGCCCAGAATTAAACTCACATACACAGTCAACTTCTCTTCAACAAGGGTGCCAAGAAGACACAATGGGGAAAAGACAGCCTCTTCAACAAATGGTGCTGGGAAAACTGAATATCCATGAGCAAAATAATAAAACGAGACCCCTATCTTACACCAGACACAAAAATAAACTCCAAATAGGTTCAAGACTTAAACATCAGACCTAAAGCTGTACACTGTTAAATTTGTTTAAAACAAAACACACACATTCTCACACACACACACACACACACACACATCGGGGAAGAGCTTCTTGACACAGTATTTACAACAGTTGCTTAGATACCACACAGAAAGCACAGCAACAAAAGCAAAAATAGACAAGCAAGATTAAATCAAACTGAACAGGTTCTGCCCAGTAAAAGAAACCATCATTAGAGTAAGAAGTTAGTATCCTTGCATGGGGAAGCTAACCTGCCCTTGTCCTCTCCCCCAGTCCCTTCCGACTCGAGATGAGCCGGGTTCATTATCCTGAGATCTGGGGTGGAAGGAGAGTGAGAAAGAGACTGTGGTGGAATTCTAAGGTGTGGCCTTGGGAGCTGCACGCTGACACCACATGGACTTGGCCTGGCCCCAGGATCAGCCGGTCGGCTGAGAGCAAAGACGGAGCAGATGTCCAAGGAGAAGAATCAAAGATGAGGTGGGAGAGAACGTACTTTCTACTGAGACCTGGCCACGGCACTGCCCCGTGTTCTTCATAAACAGTCCCCACATTTTTCCCAGAGTTGGTCTAAAATACCACCTAGAGAAACCCAACAGATCCTCTTCCCAGAAACCAGAAAAGCCCCCACAGGACCCTCCATGGATAACCTCCATGATTCTGCACCCTCCCTTTCCAAGCCAGGGTGTGGAGCCACTCTCTGAACTAACACAAAAGAAAGAACATGCTGGATTAAAGATGATCCACTCCATACACTCTCTCTCTACCTAAATTCATCTCACATATACAGTTTGGATTTTTTTATATTTTTTAAAAATAAATGAGATGGGATCTCGCTATGTTGCCCAGGCTGGTTTCAAACTCCTGGGCTCAAGCAATCCTTCCACCTCAGCCTCCCAAAGTGCTGGGATTACAGGCATAAGCCACCACACCCAGCCTGTTCTCATCATTATATATATTCAAGATTCAAGGAGACGGAAATCTGAACTCCAAAACAACCACAACATAATTGTCTAAACCTGCGGCTGATACAGCAGCCCCTAGCCACACGCGGCTGCCAAGCCCCTGAGAGGTGACCAGTTTGCATTCAGATGTGCTACAAGCATACAATACAGACGAGATATCAAAGACTTAGTACAAAAGAAGATGTAAAATAATTCATTAATATAGAAATTACATGTTGAAATACTTTTAATATACTAAGTTAAATGTTATTAATATTAATTTCAGCTATTCCTTTTTACCTTTTTTTCAATGTGGCTTCTGGAAAACTTTAAATTATACCTGAGGCTCACATTGCCCATCTAGTGGATGGTCCTGTTCTAAACTACAAGCTTCAGCAACCTCGCAAGTACCTGGCAGCAGTGCCCGCTGGGAGGTGCCGTTCTCATGTCTAATGGTCAACTGCTAGCACAGGCTCCTGCATTTCCCATCAGCTCTATGCCCTGTAGCTGGCCAGAGAAGGTCCATTCCCAGGTCCTTACTCCAAAACTGGCAGCAGCATGCTAGCTCACCCACCACCAGACCTGGAAATCCTCTCCTTCTCAATGCTCTTCTCAGTCCAGTGTCCATACTTCCCATAGAGTCCCTCACCACAGCACACAGGAAGCCACCAACAGATGTGGGCTAACGGACGACCAGGCACAGTGGCTCAGGTGGGTGATCCCAGCACTTTGGGAGGCCGAGGCAGGTGGATCACTTGAGGTCAGGAGTTCGAGACCAGCCCTGCCAATATGGTGAAACCCTATCTCTACTAAAAATACAAAAATTAGCCAGGCGTGGTGACGTGTGTCTGTAGTCCCAGCTACTCGGGAGACTGAGGCACCAGAATCGCGTGAACCCAGGAAGCAGAGGTTGCAGTGAGCTGAGATCGCGTCACTGCCCTCCAGCCTGGGCGACAAGAGCAAGACTCCATCTCGAAAAAATATAAAAGAAAACATGGCAATGAGTTATGCTGTAAAGAAAAGGAGTTTTTAGAATGTAAAAAGGAGCCCCTCTTACTCTGCTTTTTTTTCTTTCTATAGAATTTCTATAGAATGAGAAACAAGTCTATGCCAGTAAAAGCAAATATTTCAGGGGAAATAAAAACACAAAAACAGGTTTCTAGTCCACAGCCGCTCCAGGAGTGATCACCGTGCCGTCTGACCAGCCCCTGCCTTGGAGCCCACCTGTGATGCCAGTGGTGCAGGTGCTCTGCGTGGGGGCTGCCATCTTTCCACAGGACACAGTGGTGATGCTGATGTTGTACGAGGTAGAAAAATTCAAATACGTGACTTCCGTTCTATACTCAGTGCCATTCTCAGAGAAGCAGCTCTCCAGGCGGGTTGCATTGTCCCAGGCTCCACTGCTGACCTCCAGCTCGAAGCCTGCATTGGCACCAGGAGGGCAGGCCCATTTGAGAACCAGGGCTGGCTCTTTGGGGACCACTTCACAGTCGAAGGAGGCCACGGACGCGGGATCTGCAAAATAAGCACAGCACAACATGAGATTCCAGGACTTTTGCCTTTGCAAACACAGAAATAAGGAGTAGCAGAATCCTGGTGATGAGGAGGTGGGTGGGTGATGTGGTGGAAGAGGCAGGGGCTGACCCTGAATTGGGCAACACCAAACTGTGTGACCTTGGGTCAGTTACCCAACTGCTCTGAGCCTCAGCTGCAGGACCTTTTGAAGAGTACATTGAACAATGATGTCCGGCACCAAGAAAGATGCCTGGAAGAGACCAGGGCTCCATGAGAGGCAGCTACATCGTCCTGTGAGAGGTAGTGACCTCCTCGCTTGCACCATCTCATCTTGAGGACCCACCTCCTTTTTTTTTTTTTTTTGAGATGGAGTCTCGCTCTGTTGCCCAGGCTGGAATGAAATGGCGTGATCTCAGCTCACCTCAACCTCTGCCTCCCGGGTTCAAATGACTCCCCTGTCTCAGCCTCCCAAGTCGCTGGGACTACAGGTGCATGCCACCACACCCAGCTGATTTTTGTATTTTTAGTAGACACAGGGTTTCACCATGTTAGCCAGGATGTTCTCAATCTTTTGACCTCATGGTCCCACCCACCTTGGCCTCCCAAAGTGCTGGGATTATAGGCGTGAGCCACCAGGCCCAGCCAAGGCCCTCTTGATGGTCCTTCTGAGACAGGTAAGGCCCATACTGTCCCATCTGCAGATAAATCCACAGAGGCTTAGAAAGGTTAAGTAATTGGCTGATGATGACATGGCAGGTGGTGAAGCCAAAACTAGATCCCAGGTTTTCTAAGTCTAAGTTCAAGACACTCTCTATTCACATAACATACTGCATCATCAATGACAAATGGTATCAGCTTCCTCATCTTCAAAATAGAGTGTTATTTGTCTCTGAGGGCCAACAGATTTTTACTGAGGACTAACATCAAACTAATCTAAATGGAAAACTCCATATTAAAACTGGAGGACAGTATTATCATTAATTGAACATCACAGAATTTTAGAGCAGGAGAAGCTCTACCAAGGCACCTAGTGCAACTCCCACATTCGCCACCCAAGGCCTGGAAAGGTAATCTGAACACTGCACCTACTTTCACAGTTCCTGTTCCACCCATACTCAGTCATAAATGCTCGGATACACTTTTTCTCTGGCTATAGGCTACAAATAACTATAGCTAAGACAAATATCAGCAATGAAAGGCACCCAAATATCAAAGATGGGTGTCTGGACCAGGTGGGATGGAACAGAGGTGACCCAAAGCTGCAGGGATTTCTGTGGCCACCCCACTGACCACTGAAAGGCCAGAGGCCATCACGGGTGGAGCTCCTACACTACCAGGGAGGCTGATCCCATGAGACCCCCACTTCCAAATCAGCCTGAACATATGAATGGCCTGGGCTAAAAAGGGAAGAGGTAGGAGCAAGGTGAGCATAAAATGAGTAGTGCACAGGTGCTGAGTGATAAAGGTGCTACAGTCAGCACTATGAGCAGAAGTGCCCATCACTGTCTGCAAAGCCTTCCCTGGACTGCCCTGAAAGCATCCTCAGTTACACACAGGGCTCTTCTCTTTATCACACATTTTGAGTTGTGAGATAGGTGAGGATCCAGAAGGACACAAAGGCTGGGCATCATTTCAACAATAACCTTTCCATCTTCTCCAGCACAAAAGACAAACCAATGCCAGACATCATCCACGTCCTGGCCCAGCCCCACCCAAGCCTCACCTCCCACCCACACCCTCCTGTTCCTGTGGGTCCACTCCTCCCATCCTTGCCTCCCGCTCTTCCTCCAGCCTCCAGAACACGGTGGTGATGCTGCACAGGCCCCTCTGCACAAGCCTCTGCCTGTAATGCTCTCATGCCCTGATATCCAAATAGCTGCATCCTTCCCTTTATTCAGATCTTTGCTCAAAAGTCACCTTCTCACTGAGGCCTTTCCTGAGCATCCTAGATAAACATTCCACTTCCTCCTTCCAAAATAAAAGTTCCAAGAAGGCAAGGACTTGACTGGCATATGGTATATGCTCAATAAATATTTATTGAATGCAGAAATGATGAAGGCATGGAGACAGCACCAATAAGCTAACAGGATGCCTCAGAAAGCTCAATCACTGCACATCACACAAAACCAAACAAACTACAGACTGTGGAGGACTGACCTGCAAGGTCAGCACCACTCAGGGAGGAGTCCAAGAGGCAGCTGGGGCTACACTCACCTGTACAGAATGACTTCCAGCCAGGTTCCAGTGACTTGATTCTGTCCCCTACTTGTGTGAAGATCTCCACTGTGTATGATGAGCCAGGTATTAATTCAGTGACAGTAGCGTTAGTAATTCCAATGCCCGTGACTACTTGTGTTGCGTTGCTGGAATTTCCAACCTTCTCAATAAGAAGGTAGTAGGAGTACGTGGGAGAGGCGTCATCAAAGTTCTGCCAACTTAAAGTTGCTGCTGTGGTGCTGGTACTTACATCAATGTTGGACACATTGCTGGGCCCTTGATTTTAAAAAAAGGCAATTCATGTAAAAGCACAGATTAACCAGAATTCCAGGACTATTTACTATATCCAAAAATAGCCTGGCTCATTTTAGAAAGAATGAACAAAGCTAGTATTTGCTGGCTCAAAAGACGGAAAACTTCCCCAAAACACATCAAGAAAATAATTATACAGATTAAATCTCAAAAGAAGTTTAATTTAGGCTTCTTTTAATACTTCAAGCTTATTTCAAATATATTTTTAAGATATAATTTCTAATCTGTTTTTCAAATCTAATAGATGAAGGAGAAAAATATACTAAAAACATATTACAAACATCTTTACCATGTATTTGATTCAAATATTTGCAAAACACCTCCCTCACTGTCGCAGGTAAAGCTTCTCATCTGGGCAGTATCTTCCAGTACCAACATGACAAGGTGACCCTTCTCTACTCTGTATTCTCAAGGAATGACTAGAACAGTTTCAGTCTCCACTCCCAAGGAATCACTTCTTGCTTCTAATGACAATTCTAGGTTCACATAGCTTGAAGAACAGTGCCCCATGGAGACAGCAGAACCGTTGCTGAGACCAGTGTTTTCAACTTTAGCAGTTTCAGGGTCAACCTGGATCCTAGAAGCACACTGGCCATCATTTAACCAGTGCCTCCTCCAAGAGACGGTTAGAGAGGCTGTTCCTTAGAAGAGACTTACGTGTGTACTGTGTAGTGGAGCTGGGGTCCCCCGGGATGTGGTCCACTTCCGGAGAGATGGTAATGTTATATAAGGTGCCCGGGATCAAGCCCTGGAGAGTGACCACGTTGTCAGATGTGTTTGTGTGGTTAGAGCCATGCTTGGACTCTATGACTAAATGGTAGACATACTCGGAAGCATTGCCTGGGCTCTTCCACTCCAGCCGCATCTCCATGGTGGTGACGTAGACCACGTGAATGTCAAACACTGCACTGGGAGCTGCTCAGAAGAAAGGAAGAAGGGAAACCCATTACTGACTGTCATGAGGCCTAGCTTCCTCTCCAAGTGCTGTCGAGAGAACCTGCTCTTCTGTCATCACACTTTCAAATGAGTTCATAAAAGGCACACTCCAAAATCGAGCTGAGAAATGCACACACTCGGTGCTCTCAAGAATTTTAGCTCTTCTACGACGCAGATGAACTTCCCAGTTTATCTTACCAGTTCTCTAGTTTTTTGTTCTTGTCATAAAAATGAGCCCTTAGGCTGGGTGCAGTGGCTTATGCCTGTAATCCTAACATTTTGGGAGGCTGAGATGGGTGGATTACTTGAGGTCAGGGGTTCGAGACCAGCTTGGCCAACATGCTGAAAACCCATCTCTACTGAAAATACAAATATTAGCTGGGTGTGGTGGCACATACCTATAATCCCAGCTACTCGGGAGGCTGGGGCACGAGAACCACTTGAACCCAGAAGGTAGAGGTTGCAGTGAGCCGAGATCACAGTACTGCTGCATTCCAGCCTGGGCGACAGAATGAGACTCTGTCGCAAAAAAAAAAAGGAAGGCCAGGCACGGCAGCTCACGCCTGTAATCCCAGCACTTTGGGAGGCCAAGGCGGGCGGATCACGTGAAGTTAGGAGTCTGAGACGATCCTGACCAACATGAAGAAACCTCATCTCTACTAAAAAAGTGCAAAATTAGCCGGCTGTGGTGGCGTATGCCTGTAGTCCCAGCCACTGAGGCAGGAGAATGAATCGCTTGAACCCGGAAGGCGGAGGTTGCGTTGAGCCGAGATCGCGCCATCGCACTCCAGCCTGGGCGACAACAGCGTAACTCTGTCTCAAAAAAAAAAAAAAAAAGCCCTTCAAGGGGTCATCTGAAGTGGGAATCACATTCAGTTTCTTGATATGGGTGCTGGTAACGAGGTGTGTTCAGTTTGTAAAAGTTCATGAAGCTATGCGCTGAGGATACGTCCCTTTTTGGTATGTATATTACATCTCAACAGAGAGGTTTTTTTGTTTTGTTTTGTTTTGTTTAAATCACTCATTTAGAAGGAAACATCTCCCCGTGACACTGCCTGACATACTGAAGAGGAGAACTGAAATGGAGAGCTGACCTTTACTACATTGCAGCATTTGAGGACGGATGAGGAAGGGAAGAAAACGGGCACACCCTGCACCCTCAGGGCAGAGTCAGAAGCGGAGTCCCCCACAGGAGCCCATCCGCCAATCATCTCCCAGCTGCACACTCAGCCACTTGCACCAGGGATGCCCGGAAGTCGAGGCCCGGAAGTAACCACGGAGGCAGGGCCTGTTTTCCAGAGCAGCTTTCAACCCCGTCTCTCTTTACCTGGCAACAAACATCGCCTCCAGGGAGAGGAAATGGGCAGGTAGGGGACAAAAAAGGGAAATGCTTTCACTGCAAACACGTTGTCCTAAAAAATAAAAAAAGTGCCATGTTTACGTACAATCTACTCCAAAATTAATTTTTTTAAAAAAAATCTTAAGTGTGTTCTCCTTAAAGAGAAGCCACTGGGAGAAGCCTTTGTTTCCTACTGGCAGATTCCTGGTGTCAAAGGAATTCCACAGACAAAAGACCATGAAAGGCAGCCTTTGCCTATAAACATAAAAAACTAGAAACAACCTAAATATTCAATAACATGGGGAGGGCTGTGGGCACTGTGATCTGGCTGCATGATGAAATATTCTGCAGCCACTAAAAACATGAAGACCATGATAACTATAGGGGAAAGTTGTGGTATAGACTGAGTAAAAAAAAAGAAAAATTCAAATACAAAATAAAAGTACTTGTATAATAATTACAGTAATACAAGCAAAATGTGGACATAGAGAGAAAAGGAATTTGGTTGGGTTAGAAAAGTAGAGATATTTGTTTCTTTTCCTTTTTATTGTGGTAAGACATACATACCATAATATTCATCATCTTAACCATCGGTCAGTGTACAATTCGGTGTCATCAACATTCACAATGTCGTGTAACCATCACCACTACCTGTACCCAAAACACTGTTATCATCCCCAGCATAAACTGTAGCCATGAAATAATAATGCCCACTCCCTCCTCTGCACAGCCCCTGGTAACCTCTATTCTAATTTCTGTAGAATATTAAGTTGCCTAATCTAGGTACTCAGGTAAGTGGAATCATCCAGTATTTGTCCTTCTGTGTCTGGCTTATTTCACTTAGCATAATGTCCTCAAGATCCATCCATGTTGTACCATAAATCAGAACTTCTTTCTTTTTTAGGCTGAATAATACTCTGTTGTATGGATGAACCACATTTTGTCTATCCATTCATTTGTTGATGGGATCTTCGGTCCCCCTTTGGCTACTGTGAACAATGCTACTACCATAAACACTGATGTACAAATAACTGTCCAAGGCCCTGTTTTCAATTCTTTTGGAGATATACATAGGACTGGAATTACTGGATCATATGGTATTCATTTCCTTTTTTCAAAATTGCTTTTAATGCTGTTAAGCTGACTTTTTCCAATAACAATAAAGGTTGTTCAGTAATAGAAAACTAACTCCCAAAGAGTTTAGATCTTATAGCAAGCCTTCTTGACTTTCATTCAATGGGACCACAGAATGCAATGGGTCCTTTGAGACAATGGAATTCCAGGCGGGTGTTAAAATTACCATGTGAAAATTACCCTGCAGAAATACTGATATTAAGAGGAAAGAACATTCATAATAAACTATAGTAAAAGAGATGCCTTCTCCTCACTAATACTAAACTTTACTGCTGTACCACATCAAAGTGTCAATCTACATGGTGGATAAGCACTTGGTCTTAGACACCAGACACAAGTCAGTTTGCCACCTCATCACTCTGGGCCAGTTACTTATGTTCACAGAGCCCCCATTTCTTACTCTAGGAGAAATGATAATAATACCTGCTCCATGAAGTTGTGTTAAAAATGTAAAATGCAGTATGAGAGCACTCAGCACTTTGCAGACCCTCAACATATTATATTATTGTTACAGTAAGTTCTGAGCAATAGCAAGTAGCACGATATCACACATCCCCGTCAGTGGTGATCCTCTTACCATTATCCACATCCTTAAAAGACAGAAGAAACATGTTGATGTTAAGACTTCATGTCAACAGTCTAAAATGCAGACTTGCAAAGGGAATACTGCATTTCATCTGAGGGATGCATTTTAGTAGACCCCTTATTTCGGAAGCAGATCCTCTGAATAACTATTGGTGCTTAACCTAACCAGCACAGTTGAAGAAGTTTCTTCAAGGAGAATCTCAAAAGCCTAACTCATTTCATGTGTGTTTCAAGGAATCTGTCCCATTTCTTTATTCTACCCTCTGTATAAAAGATTTCAACTATCTTGAATCAAAGATCTAGGAAGACTGTATGTTTTTCAACCTTTCAAAAAAAAAAATTTCAAATTTTTAAAACGATAAAAAACATTACTCTCTAGAATTTTCCAGAAGTTTCTCCTGTGGGGCTAGAAACAATTTAATAATTTATTTAAACTGTTTCTATTAAAAAAAATTTTTTTTGAGACAGGGTCTCCCAGGCTGGTGCTGGTCTGCAACCGCTGGGTCAAGCAAATCTTCCTGCCACAGCCTCTCAAGTAGCTGGGACTATGGGTGCAGGCCACCGTAGCTGACTACAAAATGATTTTATCAATTTCAATTAGCCTAGAACTGACAAACTATCACATCACAGTTTTGTTTATGAAAGACTGTCAAGAGTCCACCTGCCCAACACAGCACAGTAGTTAATTTCTAATACATCTTGACCAGAGGTTCTTAAACTTTTTGCTCTCAGGACTTCTTTACCTTCTTAAAGGTTATTAAGGCTCTCAGAGAATTTGTATTTACATAGGTTACATTTATTAAGATTTACTATATCGGGGATTTAAAATGAAGAAATTTTTTAAATGTAAGAATCTACAGCATATATTCCATTAGCCCTCAGAGAGACAAGGTCATCCTATGTCAGATCAAAGTTGGAAAACTCCAAAAGAGAATGAGAATGAAAAAGTCAAATAACGTTTTAGTATTGTTACGATAATACTACCTTGGAGACACCTTGAAAGAACCTAGGGATCCCTAGAGAGCCCTGGACCACAATTTGAAAACCACTGATCTAGCCCAGAGGTCAGCAAACATTCTCTGTAATGGCCAGAAAATAAATATCTCAGGCTTCACAAGCCACACATTCTCTGTTGCCACTACTCAATTCTAGCACCAAAGTAGCCATAGACAGTACATAAGAAAATGAACATGGCTGTGATCCAATAAAACTTTATTTACAAAAACAGACAGTGAGCCAAATTTGGTGTAGGGGCCATTCTTATCTGCCAACTCTGTTTCAGATGATGGAATTCCAGGCAGGTGTTCAAATCATCTTGTAGAAATATTGTATTAAGAGGAAAGAATATTCATAATTAATTGGCAAGTTGGGGAAAAGGCAGATTACCAAACCACATGTACAGATGGCCTCAATGTTTGTCAAAGAAATACATATATATTTGTGGGCTGGGCGCGGTGGCGCACACCTGTAATCCCAGCGTTTTGGGAGGCTGAGGTGGGTGGATCACTTGAGATCAGGAGATCAAGACCAGCCTGGCCAATATGGCAAAACCCCGTCTCTACTAAAAGTATAAAAATTAGCCAGGCGTGGTGGCGCACACCTGTAATTCCAGCTACTCAGGAGGGTGAGGCACAAGAATAGCTTTGCTTGAACCCAGGAGGTGGAGGTTGCAGTGAGCCGAGATCACGCCACTGCACTCCAGCCTGGGTGACAGGGTAAGACTGTCTCAAAAATATATGTGTGTGTGTGTGTGTGTGTGTGTGTGTGTGTGTGTATTATATATATGTATCAAATATGTATGTATTAAATATATGTAAGTATACATGTTTAAAAATTATAAAATGTCATACATCAAGAGTGATTATCTCTGTTTGATGGTTTCCATGTAAGTTTTTTCTACTTGCCTGTATTTCATAAAATAAGCATTACTGTTATTATGAAAATTGTTAAAGGTTTTTCTTAGATAATTAAAAGAAAAACAATATTTGGAAACATTATGTTTATTAATTATGCTGATTTCCTTTAAGAAACATGACAGTTTAACAGAAAAGCCTATTTGCTTACCAGTTCTATTGCAAACTGTCCGAGACACCCCTTCAGTCCCATTTGGTCCTTCTGGAACTATTTCAAAGCAATACTTGGTTCCAGGGAACAAGTTACCAATGATAATACTTTGGTTGGTGGTTATTTCTCCCCAAGCAACCTCCTGCACACAGGATATGCATATGATATGAATCTGAAAGGATTCTGCATCATGGCTACTCCATGCTAAGCCGATCTCCGTCGTGCTGACCACTGTCACTCGGAAGTCGGAAACTGGACCAGGGGCTATGCAAAGAAAGTAAACAACTAGATTAAAAATATATTTCTCCAGGAGACAGGGATGTCCCACTTCAGAAAATATTTACACTGAGATGAAATGTACACTTAGGACACCTGATCCCTCTCTTTTTCTTCTTTGTATCATCATCTACAACACGAGCCCCTCAGAAACAGCTGTTTCTGGCCATGGAGAGAGCACTTGACCATGAGAGTGCAGAAGCTCCATGCTCACACTGCACACAATCATTCACAGGAAATGAGAGGAGGCGTGAGCTCCTGTGGTCCAGGGCTCAGGCTCTGGAGGAGAACCTTGGCCACACGGGCTGCTTTATCTTGAATGCATTACTAGCCTCCCAGAGCCTCTGTTCAGGGACGGACAGCAGAGACCACTCTTGACCCCCAAAATCCATTTCCCTGTTTTCCCTTCATCATACCCACCCAGATTTTTAGCGCTGTGTGTGCACAGCTGTTCAAACAAAGACCACATTTCCCAGCTTCCCATGCAGCTAGATGTTGCATGTGACTAAGTTTTGGTCAACAGAGCGAGAGCAGAGGTACTGGGTGACTTCTAGGAAGTGTCCTTTAAGGGTGGAGCACAACCTTCTGTCCTTCCTCCTTCTTATAGCTGGAGTGTGGATGCGATGACCAGAGCTCACGCTGCCTGGCTTCCAACACTACAGCGGTGGCTGCAGCTTCCTGATCCCAGGATCACAGCTCAGAACATACACCCCTGAATCCAGCAACTACAGCAGGGACTTCCTGATTCCTCCCTCTGCTGTCTGTGACCAAGGTGGTGACTCTCCAGGGGATCAGCTCTGCAGCCTTGTCCAGGAGTCATTTCTTGGGGCCAGGCCTAACGCCTGCTCCCCAGCTGTTATGAGCTGACTTGTGCTCCCCCACCCCCAAATGTATATGTTTATGTCCTAACCCTCAAGACCTCAGAATGTGGCTGTCTTTGGAGACAGGGTCTTTAAAGAGGTAATTAAGTTAATGTGAGGTCGTGAAGGTAGGCCCTAATCCAGCAAGACCAGTGTCCTCACAAAGGGAGATGAGGACATGGGCAGACGCAGACTAAGGACAACCACGTGAGGGAGAAGACAGTCATCTATAAGCCAAGAGGGAGGCCTCAGAAGAAACCACACCTGCCGCTGCCTTAATCTTTAACCTTCAGCCTCCAGAACTATGAGAAAGTCTATTTCTGTTGTTTAAGCCACACAGCCTTTGGTACTTGTTCTGGTAACCCTAGCGAACTAATACACCAGCTCTTCCAATGATTCTGCGACACCTCAATTGTCAGGATAAATCCCTTTTGGTTAAAAGAGCTCACAGTTTCTGTGTCATGCAATTGAGTCCTGCATAACCTCTACCGTCCCCATCCTGCCTAGCACTGGGCTTCTGTTACAGGAGGGAGAAATAAACCCGTCTTGTTTAAACCACGGATACTTGGGGTTTGTTGTTGTTGTTTTTAGTGGTGCTATTCGTGGCTGAACCTAATCCTAACTAATAAATAGTAAAAGAGTAAAGTAAAAGGTAAAGAAATGCAAGCATATTTCATTTTCCCAAAGAGCCAGTCCAAAATACATCTGTAAGAATGCTAAGATGTGCTTCCTGGGAAGGAACGGACATTTTTGTGGGATAAGCCCTGGGTCCAGAGCCACACACGCCTGGGTTCAAGTCCTGCTCTGCCACTCACTAGCTCTGCGGCCCTGGGCAAACTGTTCAGCCATGAGGGTATCGTTCCCCCATCTGTAAAAGGGGACCCCAATACCTACCATGGAGGCCACTGCAGTGTCTATAAACCTCCTGGCACAGTGCAAAATGCAGTGCTGGTGTCACTACTATTGTTTAATCGTATATAATCAATATTATACCACCATACCACTAGTGCACCATTACTGTTTTATTTTACATTATTGGACCTTCTTTGGAACCAAAAGCTTTTTATTTGCTGCATAAAATCTTATTTTAAAGGGACATTTAAACACACAAAGATGAGATGCAGCTGTGCCAGTGATTCATTATAATATCAGCACCCAAGACACAAGGGGACATGAATATCCAGGTCATTTTTGTCTCCATGTATTAATTCACTCTAGGTTTCCTCCACACTGGAAAGGGAGTTACAAGCGCAGGCTCCAGGTAAGAAATACCAGAGGCTTCATCTCACCTCTGCCACTTTCCAGCTGTGACACCTGTCTAGCACCTCTCTCAGCCTTGGCTTCCTATCTATAAAATAAGGCTACTGCCAACCATGTCACAGGGCTGTTGTGAGCATACAATGTGCCAGTGCGAGGAAAGCACGTCACACGAAGCTCGGCGTGTGGTCAGCTGACAATCACCATTATTATATCATACATCCTGTGTTTGGGCCTACCATGTAGCACGACAGCAGGAAAGGGTGGCGAGAGCCAGGCATGAACTCACGAGTGTACACTTGGAGGAAGGCCGGTGTGCCCTCAGTGTCACCTAGGAAAGGACACACTGTGATGCGGTAGAAGGTGCTTGAGCGGAGTCCCGAGATGACAGCGCGAGCCTCGCTGACGGTGAGATTGAAAGAATCTGTCTCCTCCGCCACATGTATCTTGTAGGTATAGTTAGATGACGACTCATTATCACTGACTTTCCAGGTCAGGGTCAGGCTTGTGGCACTGATATTCACAACGGTGACGTCAAAAACCTGAATAGCATCTGTGAGAACACAAGAGGAGTTCAAAATAACCAGAACGGCCAAGGCAGAGGGAGGGAGAGGTCATCAGGGCATGCTGTCGAGCCCAGGAAACTCCTGGGGAGTGTTCCTTCCTCCTCTGCACCATCAGCCACAGCTAGGAAAGCATGAGGGTCCCAGCCAAAGTCAGGCATCATCAGGCGGTGAAGAAACAACCTGGCCAGTGGCACCTACAGGGTTATTCTTTGCTCCTTTTTGTAAGTTGACTTTAGAGATTTGACCTAAATGATGACTTGGACTCTATGCATGTTTTACCCTAGGGCCAGGGGCACCCAGAAAAGTTGTCAAACACAAATGATGCAAAAGCGAACACTGTGATCTACGGGATCGCCTGACATCACAGAAGTCAGGACGAGGCAGGCCTGGGTTCCAGGGCTCACTCTGCTGTGACACCCAATTGGGCCACAGGAAAACCACTGGAGCTCAGCTTCCTCATCTATCAAACTGGGAGAGCAATCCTAACCTCAAGAAAAGACAACCCAAGTGCCAGTTATTCGCCACCTGCCCACCCCACCCTCCCGACGTGTCTGCTGTCCTTCCCTCACCTGCTCTGTGCCCAGGAGGTTGACCCTGCACAAGGCGTCACAGGGGGGTCTTGCCACGTGGGCTGTGACCAGGTTCCACCATGAGCCAATGGGCAGGCGCCTGAAGGGCCACAGGAGAAAGGAGTCGGTGCCTTCCTCCATCGCCTCCTGCTCTGGGCCTCCTGTTCTGACACAGCTGTGTCCTCCACTGCCCCAGCTCTCACTGGGCTCCAGAAACACCCTGTCCTCCTCTAGCCCTTCAGCCCTCGAGGTGGCTTTCTGCTGTGGACGAGTCTTGGGTGCCTCAACTATGTCCTCTGATGGTTTCCTTAACCCTGCCCCACCTAACTAGTCACTTGAAAAGTGCAGGGTGCTCTGAGGTGGGTGGAAATGTGTATTTCTTTGTGTGTGTGTGTGTGCGCACGTGTGTTGCAACAGACTGAATGTTTCTGCCCCCATAAAATTCCTGTGTTGAAATCCTAACCCCTGATATGATGGTTTTTGGAGGTGGGGCTTTGGGGAGGCAATTAGGTCATGGATTACCTCCCTCCCAAATGGTATTAGTGCCCTTATCAAAGAGGCTGGAGAGAAACCCCTCCCTCACCCCTTCAACCACATGAAGACCCAGGGAGCCTGCAACCCGGAAGAGGAAGACGGTGTTCACCCAGAGCCCAGGCATGCTGGAGCACCCCAGTCTCAGACTTCCAGCCTCCAGAACCCTGAGAAATAAATGTTCATTGTTTACGCCATCTAGGGCATGGCCATTTGTTACAGCAGCCCAAACTGAGTAAGATTTATTTATACACACACACTCGCCCCTTACAGAGAGGGAAAGGCTACCATAATGATTATTTACCAAGCATGAAGACAGTTCAACGCAAACCAGGATGTGTGTGAATTCACACCACCAAGAGCCTGAGATGTAATCACTACTACTTTGCTTTTGCTCAAACTGCTTTAAAAAACAGGGACCCCAGGCCCACACGAATTCATGAGTCATTTGAGCAAATCAGGCAAAGGGCCCTTCTCCTGGCTGGGCCCAGCCCTGGGTGCATGGCTTGATGCAGGGCACACAGGCCAGATTTCAGCCCCTTTCACCCTCTCACGCAAGCTTACCATGTGCAGGACACCCCACCACTGCCAACCGCACCCATGTAGGAGCCCCTTCCTCCTCCTCCAACTAACCCACCCTCTGGAATCCAAGCCCTCCTCACCCGAGAGCCTCCCGCCTGCCACTCCTGCCAGGTCACTGCGGACCCAATGAAGTCAGGTGGCCTCTCCTACAGCCGTATCCTCCCCACCCACCCCGACGTTAGCAAAACAAGTACAAGGGGAAGGAAGGACACAAATGGACCCTCCTTCAATGTGGATACCACGAAAAGCTGTCATTCCTTACAGACATGGCTTCTCACCGATGTCCTGCCAAAACTTCTAGCCCTGTACAAGTAACACAGCCTGGCCAGTAACTACCGCTAGGTATTCCCAAACGTGTTCCCCTCCCGCTTTTTTCACCAAAGCCTCCAAATATTGGTGAACTTACAGAGTGAAAGTGCTGATACATTACAGCGAGGAAGCAGCAATGTGCATTTCAACAAGCATTTCAACAGAAAGACTGGTACGAATGACGAGGGCAGGCGACAAAACGAAACTCACTTTCTTAACTCAAAGTAGGGGAAAAATAAGCAATGATGATCTATTTTTAAGAGGAAAGTATGACGCCAGTTTGTCTCATCGGCCACCAGGCAGAGCTGTGAAAGACGGCGCGAGGCAGTGCCCGGTGCTCACACACGGGCTGCTCCGTGTATCTGATTTCACTTAATGAGAGATGTGCACTGCCCATGGAGTTAAGAAGAAACTGAGCAGATCTGCTCTGTCCAAAATCTCCTCCAGAAAGCTCCCTCTGACATCAAAACTAGTTGTTATGCAAGAAATCACTCAGAATCGGAATCACAGGAGACAGAACACTGTGCTAGGAAACTCTGGCTGCCACCATTTTACAAAGTTCAACCTACTTGTCCTGAACTCTATGGTCTGGGGCTGTCCTTCTGTGCCATTCACTGCCTGGGAATAAACGGTGGCATTGTATCGGGTGCCAGGCTTTAACTCGACAAGCAGGACTTCCGTGTCTCGGGACTGCTGGCTGGAGGATGAGTCCGCAGGTCCCAGGAGGGACTCGTTGTGCACAGGGGCGGTGGGGCTGCCTGCCCGGCTTCTCTCTGTGTTGCTGGCATCTGTTTCAAGCACAGGAGACAAAAAGACATCAACCACAAGAGGGACACATCCCCCATCTTCCTTTGGAGCCCCCCGCCCCATCCGATGGCCATCAGACAGTGGCCACAGTTGGTGCTCCATCAATATCTGCTCCCTTCCGCCTCCAGAGAGAGAAGCAGCCCCATAAAAAGGCCTGATGGCTCCATCTCCATTTGTACTGTTATTCCAGTAGCACCACAGATATCTGGTGCTTCTCTTTCAAACTCTGCTTATTTCAGGTCATTCTCCCTTCTTTGGTACGTTTTCTTCTCCTGTCCCAGCATGGATTTCCAGGGAGAGTTCTGTGAAGCAGACTTTGCTAATCAGACCCCACTCAAGACACGTTTCCCTGGACCAGACCTTGGCTGGTGGGGCAGCTGCAGGGTGTGAAACGGGAGCAGCTGGGCTCCTTGAGTGTGCAGAGGGAGGTGCTCTGAGAATGAAGCTGATAAACAGAAAGAAGCAGGAGGGAGGGGTGAGAATTGCCTCATCTCTTTCTCTAAGGCTTCCCGCTAGCAGGAAAATCCACACGAGACAATAAATTGTTCCTTCTGGCTGAGCTATCCAAAGTCTGGTTTCTGTCACTTGCAAGCAAGGATCCTGACACCCAGTCCGTGGCTGTTTTCCTAAGTGTACAATGCAGGTTAAGTTCCTGTCCTCCTCGTGGAGTTAGCCTGGAGATCCTCTACAAATGCTCTGAAATCTGCAAATAACAACGCCAACGTCACCCAGCAGACGTGATAAGTTCCTCTGAAGGCCCAACTTGGGTTGACACAGCTGTTATTTGCTCAATTGAAAGAGAGAAAGCTAAAGGGGCCTCCACTTTCCCGGGTACCAGACTCTACACAGTTTCAATCCCTATTGCTGTTCTCAGCCCCAGTGTGTTCCCCTGTAAAATCAGAACATGTTTCCTTTCTTCCTCATGCAGGTGGGGGATCAAACTAAAATGTGGAGGAAAAGCCTTCTATAAATTCTTTTTTTTTTGTTTTGTTTTGTTTTGTTTTGTTTTGTTTTGAGGCGGAGTCTCCCTCTGTCGCCCAGGCTGGAGTGCAGTGGCCGGATCTCAGCTCACTGCAAGCTCCGCCTCCCAGGTTTACGCCATTCTCCTGCCTCAGCCTCCCGAGTAGCTGGGACTACAGGCGCCTGCCACCTCGCCCGGCTAGATTTTTGTATTTTTTAGTAGAGACGGGGTTTCACCGTGTTAGCCAGGATGGTCTTGATCTCCTGACCTTGTGATCCGCCCATCTCGGCCTCCCAAAGTGCTGGGATTACAGGCTTGAGCCACCGCACCCGGCCACCTTCTATAAATTCTAAATCTCCACACACATGGAAGAGCAATTTATTTTTTAAAACATTATGATACTGAAAGTGAGAATCAGTAAGGGAGATGGGAGGTACCCTTTGTAACTCACCCAAGCCCCCTTCTGTACCCAGGGGGTCTCCCTCTGTCTTATTTGATTGTAGAAGATATGGGTTGATGCTGTATTGAACCCCTGGCTTCAGGCCTGAGATATTGACTGCGAAGTCTTGAGTCGACTCCTCATGGCTTCCAACGCCTTCAAGAAGCACCCGGCAGGAGGCAGTGCCATTGCCATTGCTCCAGGAGAGAGTAGCCTGCCTCACACCAGTGAGGGCAACACGGAGACCAGAAACTGGAATCGGCTCTATTTTAAAAACACAACATGCATTAATGGAATAAGAGATATGCAGTCACCTTCATTAAGAATGACTGGGGTTCAGTGCTGGGAGCAGGTTTTAAAAGAAAAGAAAAAAAGAAAGAATGAGGTCACTAAGGTCCTGATGTGACTCACTAAAAATACTTCCTTTCTATCACAGTCCAGTGCATTTCCATCATTTCACAGCAGGGCTGGGGAGAAAATAATAACGCGGAAAAGAAGCAAAAAACCTTAAAACTGAAATTGTTTAGGATCCACACTGGTCTCCAAGATTAACCCCAATAGTGACTGTACACTCTTCTAAATTGTTCCTTTTAAACAGTAGCATTTAATTACATGTGTTTTAGCTATCAGGAACAAAGCCTCAACTAAAGTGACTGCCTACTAATCTAAAGGTCTCAATTCAAGACAATGCAAATAACATCATTCTAAATTACCGCGACATTTGAAGTAAGCAGCACATTCGATATCCCAGCCCCAAGGGGATTTTTCAGAAGATATTCCATCTCCACTATGTCCTGGCCCTTCCTCCCATCACCTTACTTGGTTGATGGTAACATAAGTCAAACCACTTCACCCAAAATGACATGCACTCCCCTCACTTATCCGATAAGAACACAGAGACCCAGAGAGGCAGGGCGGTTTGCTCAAGAACACACACTCCCAGTAGCAGTGGGGACAGGAGAACCAGGGCTGCAGCTTCACGAACAGAAAAGCACAGGTAGGGCTGTAGATAGAGCCCTGCCTGAGGGCTGCAGGGGTCTGAAGGTGAAGACGTTGGCCTAAAGGCACCGTCCAGCTCCGAAACAGTGAGATGATTCCTCACAGCACATGTCTCTCATGCAGGGATTTCTAAATCAGGTCAGTCGTGTCTTTTTGTTTTATTAAGTAACGCGGAACCAATCAATTCCCAGCTCGGTGACTGTGGATAGCTGTTACGAACATCACTGCGCCACAGTGGTCTAGAGTTAGACTCCGGGTTCCAGCCCCACCACTTGAAGCTCAGTAACTCTGAGACGCCGGAAGAAACTTAACTTCTCCACATTACAGCGTCTTCCACTGCAGCCCCCAGGGTTACTGTGAGGACAAAATAACAATAAGGACAGCGAGGCACAAGGTCCGTGCTCAATACGCAGCAGCTGACGGACCTGCTCCAATGCAGCCCTGCGCTCGGGGCTGTAAGGCAGATAAAGACGCTCAGCCCCTCTACCGGTGCTTCCTGCCCCTCCGCATCCCCTTTCCCACGGCCACCCCCTCCGGCTCACCTTGTCCTCATCACCATTTCCAAGTTCTGCGCTCTTTTCTCTCATTCTCATATCTTCTGTCATCTCTCTGTGCTCTCCTTCTTTTCCTCTCTTTCACAAGGTAACAGAGCAAACCTTTACAGCGGGTTCCCCCCGCTCCCCCCCAAAATAGGGCTCTGAGGAGCTCCAGGAGTTTTGTGAGGGTGCCCGTGACACCCGTTTCTTTGGCTCTTTTCTCTCCAGCTCTTTTTGTTTTTACTTATTGAGCTCCTGGGCAAGGTTTTGTTTAAAGAAATAGTTTCCTGACTAAAAATGTTGGAAGCCACTGGTTTCGTGTTTGCTGCTTCATGCTGGACCTCGTTCACCTCCAGCCGTGGGGGCTCCAAGAGCTCAGGTGCCCATGGGCAACTCCAGCCCCTCAGATCACACCCCTCAGCCCCCCAGGTCAGAAAACTAACAGAGGACCTCTTTTTTCAATTTTTGGTTCTCTTCACCTTAAAAAAGAGTTTCTCCACCTGTTTTTTAAAATGTTTGGTTCTTTTCAGCTTAAAAAAAGAGCTAAGTTTGCAGCTCTAATAGATGGCTTAGGCACTGACATCTAAGATAAATCAAAATCTAAACTATCAAATCTGAATTAAAATTTAAATATCATCAAGCTCTTATTTCATTTGAAACACATACTTCTCTACAAAATACACCAAACTTCCCTGCCCAACAGAAACTCCCAGGGCATACAAACACAGCATCAATTTCCTGGGAGCTTAAAAGGCTGGTAATTACCATGAAAACACGTTTTTAAGGAAGTCTCTACTCCTGAGTCTTAACAGAAAAGTAGGTATTAACCAACAATAACGGAAGATTTTTAAAACCACACAGAAGTAGTCAGAACTTCCCAAAACACAGAGGGCCTTCATACTGAATGATGTGGCCACCAGAAATCCGAGGCTTGCAACAACACAGCACCTTTTCTCCTCTTCTAGTTTATGAAAACCACTCTCTTCCCAACAGGCAACTTGAATGGACAAGGCCCTAGAACACAGGATAATAAGAAATGGTTTGTCATCATCCCTGGGAGCCAGTCATCTTACCTGTGATGACATTTATGACTCTGGGATGTCCCCAAGTCTCATTGCCTGTTGCTGGAGTGATGGAGAACACATACGAAGTTCCAGGACGTAAGCCTGTGATGTTACACCACGGTCGATACACAACAGTAACTGTTGTCTCATTTTCCATCTCATTCTTTACCACATACTTGTACTCGGAAGCAGCTGAGTCGTTACTTTTCCAGGTTAAGATCACATTGGTTGGACTGATGGAAACAGCTTTAATGTCAAACACAGGACTGGGCCCTACATTGTTTTCAAAAAAAAAAAAAATTAATGCACTTCAAAAAGAAATGTAAGAGCGAGGTCTGCTCTATATGTCTAGTTTCCAGAAGTGACTTTCCAATCACAGAGTTTTATCTCTTTGCTTTCTAGACTTCCCTGCACCAGAATTTATTTAAATCCATATGCATACATGTATGTGTGTATGTTAGTAAAACGGAAGCCTTTGGAACAGAAGCAAAACTGATAGAAGTTGGTCATGTTGGCTGTGACTTAAAAATGGGGTTAGGTCTGTATAGAAGCTGATACAAAAAGAGACCAAACTTTGGGAGGCCAAGGCGGACGGATCCCCTGAGGTCACGAGTTCAAGACCAGCCTGGCCAACATGGTGAAACCCCATCTCTACTACAAAAATACAAAAATTAGCTGAGCGTGGTGGCAGGCACCTGTAATCCTAGCTACTTGGGAGGCTGAGGCAGGAGAATCACTTGAACCCAGGAGGTGGAGGTTGTAGTGAGCCGAGATCGCGCCACTGCACTCCAGCCTGGGTGATAAGACTGAGACTCCGTCTCAAAATAAAAAAAAGAGATCAAAGATGCAAAATGAGTCCATCTCCCCATTCTCAGAAAACGCTGCATGATGCAGAAGCACATGCTAACTTTTTTGCCAAACCCTGACATCTAGAAGGAAGCTCAGTGGTTTTCTGACATAAAGATAGCAGGGGCAGAGCAGCATAAAAAGAAAAGAACTGGTCTTGGAACCCAGATCGGGGATTAAAGACCTGCTCCATCCATTAGCTGTGTGGCCTAGACTTAGTCCCTTCAAACCTCTCCGTCTCCAATTCCTCTGTTGACAGCTCTAGCACACCACACTAAACACGATGAATTATTATTGAACCACCATGATACGATAAACAAGGGACAAGATTTGGACATTAGAAATCTGGTTTCAGGGTCCAATTCTGCTAGTCGCTCACCGTGCAATTTTACTCAAAGTAATCTCACCTCTCTGAACCTTAGTTTCATCATCTTAGATGTACAAGATCATAAACCAGTGGAAGCCATCAGGGTTACTAACTGTAGAACTACCAAATGCATGCATCCTAATTAAGCTGAAGACTGAGGAGTAATAACCAGAAACTGAAGAGTAAAACCCAGGTGATATGGCCATCATTCTCAACGAACTTGGGACTAATCCCAAAGGAGTAAAGATGGCATAAGTGTTACCATCTTGGTATGTGCATGGAAAGTGTGCCTCACCTGGCTCATGGGATATACAAACATTCATCCAATCAATAAAAAAACTGCAGGAAGCCAGGCACACTGGCTCATGCCTGTAATCCCAGCACTTTGGGAGGCTGAGGCAGGCAGATCATTTGAGGTCAGGAGCTTGACACCAGCCTGGCCAACATGGTGAAACCCTGTCTCTACCAAAAATACAAAAATTAGTTGGGTATGGTGGCAGCCACCTGTGATCCCAGCTACTCAGGAGGCTGAGGCAGGAGAATCGCTTGAACCCAGGAGGTGGAGGTTGCAGTGAGCCAAGATCGCGCCACTACACTCCAGCCTGGGCAACAGAGCGAGACTCTGTCTCAAAAGAAAAAAATTAATTAATTAATTTAAAAGGCAGGAGAAGAAACAAGAGAAGGGAAAATGGAACAAGCAGGGAAGGATCCTGTGGCCCACAATTCAACAAACACCATGCCAGAAGGCCCCTCCAGGCTTGAGTGTCCTCTTTATAAAGTGACATGTTCACAGAGTCAGAGTGGCATATTTGGAAGATGATCACAGCTGCTCCCATTTACAATCAATAACAATGATGGTGACGAGGATAATGATAAAACAGTAACAATAGTTGCAGTGGTATAGGTAGCAAGAACAGCAGCACTCCTTTTGAGAGGCCAACCATGTCCCAGGTGCTGTACAGTATGTTCTCATTTACGCCTCACAACAACTTCATGAGAAAAGTATGGCACCATTTTTTTTTTTTTTTTTTTTTTTGAGACAAAGTCTTGCTCATCACCCAGGCTGGAGTGCAATGGCACAATCTCAGCTCACCGCAACCTCTGCCTCCCAGGTTCAAGCGATTCTCCTGCTTCAGCCTCCCGAGTAGCTGGGATTACAGGTGCCCGCCACCACGCCCGGCTAATGGCACCATTTTAAAGAAGGAGAAATGCTTTAAGAAGTAAATTTTATTGATTCACACAGGAATTCTGGGAAGGTTTTGGAAAAGCAAGTTCTTAAGTTCAGAAAAGAAAGCACAGTTAACAGTATTTTTTGGTCAAATGTTTTTTCTGCATCTGCTGAAATGATCGTATGGTTTCTGTCCTTCATTCTGTTAACATGGTGTAGCACATTTATTGCTTCGCACAAGTTGAACCCTTTTTGCATTTCTTGGAAGAATCCCACTTGATCATGGTGAATGATCTCTTCAATATGCTGTTAAATTAGGTTTGCTAGTATTTGGTTAAAGATTTTTGCATCTTGGCCTGTAGTGTTTTGGGTTGTAGCCTTGTCTGGTTTTGGTATCAAGGTAATGCTGGTCTTGTTAAATGAGTTTGGAAGTATTCTCTCTTCCTCAATTTTTGGAAGCATTTGAGAAGAATTGTCATTAGACCTTCTTTAAATGTTTGGCAGAGGACTGGGTGCGGTGGCTCACACCTGTAATCCCAGCACTTTGGGAGGCCAAGGTGGGGAGGTCACTTGAGGCTGGGAGTTCAAGACCAGCTGGGCAACATAGTGAGACCCCATCTTTACAAAAAAATTTTAAAAGTTAGCTGGATGTAGTGGTGCACACCTATAGCACACCCAGGTACTCGTGACACTAAGGCAGAAGGATCATTTCAGCCCAGGAGTTCAACTTACAGTGATCTATGATCACACCACTGCACTTCAGCCTGGGTGACAGAGGGAGACACTGTCTCTTAGAATAATAATAATAATAAATAGAAATGGGAGATGTTCTGTTACTGATTCAATCTCCTAACTCATTATGAGATTATTCAGATTTTCTGTTTCTTCATAATTCAATCGTAGTAAATGGTATATGGCAAGGAATTTATCCATTTCTTCTAGGTTATCCAATTTGTTGGCATATAATTGTTCATGATTGTTCCTTTGTATTTCTGTGGTGTCAGTTTATAACGTCTCTCATTTCTGATTTTCTTTGAGTAGTGTCTCTTTTTTCTTAGTCTAGCTAAAGCTTTGTCAATATTCTTTATCTTTTCAAAAAAACAACTTAATTTATTGATCTTTTCTATTGTTTTTCTAGTGCCTATTTCATTTATTTCACCTTTGACTTTTATTATTTTGTTTCTTTTACTAATTTGAAGATTAGTTTGTTCTTGTTGTTCTAGTTCCTTAACGTGCCACATCAGGTTTTTTACTTGAGGGTTTTGTTTTTTGCTTTTTTCAGACAGGTTCTCAATACCCAGGCTGGAGGTGTGAGCTTGCTTTATTTCTATATATATATATAGATAGATAGATAGATGGAATCTTGCTCTGTTGCCCAGGCTGGAGTGCAGTGGTGTGATCTCGGCTCACTGCAGTCTCTGCCCTCTGGGTTCAAGCAACTCTCCTGTCTCAGCCTCCCTAGTAGCTGGGATTACAGGTGTGTGTCACTACACCTGACCAATTTTTGTATTTTTAGCAGAGACAGGGTTTCACCATGTTGGCCAGGCTGGTGTCGAACTCCTGACCTCAAGTGATCCACCCACCTCGGCCTCCCAAAGTTCTGGGATTACAGGCATGAGCCACCATGCCCAGGGAGCTTTCTTTTTTGATGTAGGAGTTTATTGCTGTCAACCTTCTTGGAAGGGTTGCTTTTGGTGTATCCCATAGGCTTTAGTATATTGTGTTTCCATTTTCATTGGCTTCAAGAAATTTTTAAATTTCCCCTTTAATTTCTTCACTGACCCATTGATTGTTCAGGGGCATCTGTGACAAAACAATTAACAATAGTTACTATGGGAGATGGCAAGATCAGCATCACCCCTATTGGGGACCTGACCATGTCCCAGATCCTGTACTAGGGCTGTACAAGCATTTTCTAATTTATGTCTCACAGTAACTTCATGAAGGTGGTTATGGCACCATCTTAAAGAAGAAGAAGAAATATGTTAACAAATTTGCTTAAGAAGTGATGTTTGTCTCAAGATAATTTTTAGTTTCCCTTTTAATTTCATCATCAACCCATTAGTTGTTCAGGAGCATGTTGTTTAATTTCCATACATCTGTGAATTTTCTGAAGTTCCTCCTGTTATTTATTTCTAGTTTGATGCCATCATCAGAAAAGACATTCAATATGATTTCACACTTCTTAAATCTGTTAAGATTTTTTTTGTGGTCTAACATATGATCTACCTGGAGAATGTTCCAAGTGCAACTGAAAAGTGTATATTCTATAGCTGTTGGATGGAATATTCTGCATATGTCTGATACATCCATTTGGTCTAAACTGTAGTTTAAGTCTGATGCTTCCTTATTGATTTCCTGTCTGGATCATCATCCACTGCTGGAAGTAAGGTATCGGTTGCATTGCAGTCAATCTCTCCATTCAGATCCATTAATATGTGCTTTATATATTTAGGCATTCCAATGCTGGTTACATATATATTTACAATTGTTAAGACTTCTTGATTAATTGATCCCTTTATCATTATAAAATGATGTTTGTTGTCTCTATTAAAAGTTTTGAACTTAAAGTTTATTTTATCTGATATAAGGATAGCTACTCCTGGCTCTCTTTAGATTTCCATTAGCATGCAGTATCTTTTTCCATCCCTTCACTTTCAGTCTAGGCATGTCCTTGCAGGTGAGGTGAGTCTCTTGTAGACAGCATATTATTGAGTTTGCTTTTTTTTTTTTTTTACCCATTCACGCATTCTATGTCTTTTGACTGGAGAATTTAAACCCTTTACTTTCAAGGTTTCTATTGATAGTTAAGAACTTACTACTGCCATTTGGTTGTTTTCTAGACTTTTTGTTCCTTTTGTCCTCTCTTACTATCTTCCTTTGAGGTTAAGTGATATTCTCTAGTAGCATGTTTTGATTCCTTGCTTTTTAATTTTTGTGTATCTACTAAAGGTTCTTCTTTGTGGTTACCATGAGGCTTATAAAAAGAATCTTATAGTTATAACAAGCTATTTTATGCTGGTGACAACTTTGATCACATGCACAAAAACTGACCTCTACACTTCTAGTCCATTCCCCTCCTCACATTATTAATTGTTTATGTCACCATTTACATCTTTTTATATGCATAACCCCCCGCAAGTTACTGTAGTTATTATTTTTTAAGTATTATCTATTAATTTTCATACTAAAGATACGTATGACCATTACAGTATTCATGTATTCTGAATCTGGCTGTGTATTTTACTAGTCTTATCCTTTCATATGTTTTCAATTAATCATTACTGTCCTTTTCTTTTGGCTTAAAAACGCTCTTTAGTATTTCTTATAAGACATGTCTAGTGGTGATGAACTCCCTCAGCTTTTGTTTCTCTGGGAAAGTCTTTTATCTCATCTTCATTTTTGAAGGCCAGTTCTGCTGGGTATAGTAATCTTGGTTGGCAGGTTGTTTTCTTTCAGCACTGTGAATATATCATCCCACTCTCTCCTGACCTGTAAGTTTCTGCTGAGAAGTCTGCTGCTAGCTAAAGTGAAGCTCCCTTATATGTTATTTGCTTCTTTTCTCTTTTTGCTTTCCAAATCCCCATTATCTGTGATGTTTGACAGTGTGATTATGTTCTGGAGTAGTCTTGTTTGAATTGACTCTTATTGGGGTCATTTTTCATTCCCATACCAGATATTTATATCTTTCTCCAGGTTTGGAGAGTTTTCTGCTACTATTTCTTTAAATAAGCTTTCTACCTCTTTATCTTTCTCTTCCTCTAGATGAACTCCGATTCAAACACTACCTCTTTTGATGCTGTCCCATAAATCCTATAGGCATTCTTCATTCCTTTTTATCCACTGTTTCTTTTTCCTCCTCTGACTGTATATTTTCAAATAATCTGTCTTTAAGTTCAAAGATTATTCTTCTGCTTGATCAATTCTACTCTTGGTGCTCTCTACTACATTTTTCATTTTGTTCAAAGTATTTTTTAGCTTCATAATTTCTGTTTGCTTCTCTGTTAATTATCTCAATTTAGTCACTTATTGTTTTCCTCATTTCTTTGAATTATTTATCTGTATTTTCTTAAAGTTTGCTAGGCTTCCTTAAAACATGTATTCTGAATTCTCTGCCAGACAGTTCATACATCTCCCATCTCTTTATGGTCAACCACTTGCACTTTATTTTGTCTCTCTAGTAATATCATGTTTGCCTGATTATTCTTGATCTTTGTGACTCTCTGTTGATGTCTGCACATTTGAAGAAGTAAGTTCTTATTCCAGTCATTGTAGATTGGCTTCCTCTGGAAATGCCCTTCAACAGTAAGCCTGTCCAGAGATTTCTGGGCAGACTATCTGGTATGGTCCCAACCCCTAGGACTACAATGGCCACTGAAGTACTAGGGGGTGCCCTAAGCCCAAATTTTTGTAACAATACTTAACATAAGCTCCCTACGAATTTCTTTTATTTATTTACTTTTTTTTTTTTTGAGACAGAGTCTCACTCTATCAGGAGTGCAGTGGCACCATCTCCACTCACTGCAACCTCCACCTCCTGAGTTCAAGCAATTCTCTTGCCTCAGCCTCCCAAGTAGCTGGGATTACAGGCACGCACCACCACACCCAGCTAATTTTTGTATTTTTAGTAGAGATAGGGTTTTGCCATGTTGGCCAGGCTGGTCTCGAACTCCCAACCTCAGATGATCACCTGCCTTAGCCTCCCAAAGTGCCGGGATTACAGGCGTGACCCACTGTGCCCAGCCCCCTAGCAATTTCTAAAAGTTTCTCATATTACCCTAGAAATAATTCAATGATATAACTGTGTATGTGAAATGATACTATCAATACTTTTAGAACTAACAAAACTATTGTATCACAATGTTTTTTATGAAAAAAATGTAAATAATTTAAATAATCTACCTTCTCAACAACAGGGGAGTAGTTAAATAATTTACAATGCTTCTAGACAAGTAATTCTTCAACACTGTGGTCTCAGGGCCCTTCTAACTGCTTAAGAATTATTAAGGCTCTTGGAGAATTTTTGTTTATATGGGTTATCTTGATTAATATTTACCATACTGTATTATAAATTAAAAAGATAAAGTTTTTTAAACATAACAATACAAAAGCATACATTCCATTAGCTGTTAGAGTGACAGCGTCATCCCATATCATATAGAATCTGCAAAACTCCACTGTACACTCATGATAAAATGAGAGTAAAAAAGCCAAATAACATGTTAGTAGTATTATGATAATACCCAGAAATACCTTGAAAGAATCTAGGAGACCCCTAGAGATCTCTGAACCACAGTTTTAGAATCACTGATCTAACCCAGGTCTCAGCAATGTTTTTCTGTAAGGGCCAGAGAATAAATATTTCAGGTTTTACAAGCCACATATTCTCCATTGCCACTACTCAATTCTAGCATGAAAGCAGCCATAGGCAGACTCAATAAAACTTTACTTACAAAAACAGAAGTGAGCCATATTTGGCCCAAGAACCATTATTATCTACCAACCCTGATTTAGACAACAGAATGCCAGGCAGGTATTAAAACTGTCCTGTAGAAATGTACATATTAACAGGGAAGAATACTTGTAATATATTGTTGAGAAACTACATGTAAAAGATGACCTTGATACTTGTAAAACAAAATAAAACGTATATATATGTATATACATACGCACACAGGCACGTATACATCTTAAAATTGTAAAACTCGTATATCAAGTGATCAGTGGTTATCTCCAGTTAATGATTTACTTGTTATTCTTTTCTTCTTGTCTATATTTTATATAATAAATATGCATTACTATCATTATAAAAATTGTTTTAAAGATTTCCTTAGGTAATTGAAAGAAGAACAATATTTGGAAAACATGACATTTTAAATTATATCGATTTCCTTTAAGAAACATGACTGCTCGGCAGAAAAGCCCATGCTTACCAGTAGCACTGGGAGTTTTTTGAGATGCTCCATCAGTCCCATTAGATCCTTGTTCAGGTGTTCTTAAACTATCATTGGCTCCAGAGTCTTCGCCACCCTCACTGGTATTTGTTGGCACCTGAGGTGTTCCAGTTCCATTCAGTATGTAAAAGGATGGTGCTTTACTGCTCATCTGGGTTACGCCACTTTCCGCTGTGGCAACAGTTGTTACTGAAGGGTCATGAGTTGGACCAGGGGCTATGCAAAGATAATAAACAATTAGATTAAAAATACATTTCTCCAGGAGACAGGGATGCCCCACCTCACAAACTATTTACTCTGAAATGAAATGCAAACTTAGGAAAACTGATCCCTCTCTTTCTCTTCTTTGTATCATCACCTACAACATGAGCCCCCTCAGGAACTGCTGTTTCTGGCCACATGGAGAGTACCTGGCCATGAGAGTGCAGAAGCTCCGTGCTTACATTGCACACAGTCATTCACAGGAAATGAGAGGAGGCGTGAGCTCCTGTGGCCAAGGGCTTAGGCTCTGGAGGAGAACCTTGGCCACACGGGCCACTTTATTTTGAATGCATTACTAGTCTCCCAGAGTCTCTGTTCAGGGAGGTGCAGCAGAGACCACTCTTGACCCCCCCAACTCCATTCCCCCATTTTCCCTTCATCATACTCCTGGAGATTTTTGGCCCTGTGTGTGCATGGCTGTTGGGAACAAAGACTACATTTCCCAGCCTCCCGTGCAGCTAGATGTTGCACGTGACTAAGTTCTGTCCAACAGAGTGTGACCAGACGTTCTGTCTGACTTCTAGGAAGAGTCCTTAAAGGGTGGAGCACAACCTTCTGTCCTTCCTCCTTCTTAAACCTGTAGTGTGGATGCAATGACTGGAGCTCACGCTGCCTGGCTTCCAACACTACAGCAGTGGCTGCAGCTTCCTGATCCCAGAATCACAGCTCAGAACATACACCCCTGGATCGAGCAACTACAGCAGGGACTCCCTGATTCCTCCCTCTGCTGTCTGTGACCAAGGTGGTGACTCTCCACGGGGTCAGTTCTGCAGCCTTAGTCTGGGAGTCATTTCTCAGGGCTAGGCCTAAAGCCTGCTCCCCAGCTGTTATGAGCTGACTTGTGCTCCCCCACCCCCAAATTCGTATGTTGAAGTCCTAACCCCCAAGACCTTGATCTTATTATAGCAGCCCTGGCAAACTAATACAGCAGCCCTTCCAATGACTCTGTAAACTCTCACTTCCCAGGGTAAACCCTTTCAGTTAAAATAGCTCATGGTTTTTGTTTCCCACAACTGAGCCCTGGCCAACATTCTACGATCTACGGTAGATGTCTGCATACAAGTGTTCTTCTGCAGCCCTAATTCAAGCCTGTACAAGGTACCCACCAGTTTATTTATTAAACTAATTAACAGGAAGAAAAACCAATGGCAGAACTCTTCCCATTGTTTGCACAGGCTCTACTTACCATTATTAATTGAGATTTGCTTTATTAGAGGGTTTCAGCAAGATCTGACCTTGTGTATGCTTCCATGAGTACAATCTAATTATTTTATCTATTTTATCTCACAAATTGAGATTTTACCAATCAGGAAAAAAAGGTTCCCAAATGTTGGGAAGAAACAAAAGCCACTGTTTGGTGTTTTTTTTTTTTTTTTCCCTATAAGGTACATTTTTTAAAACTACCAACTACTATTATCTTTAATTCTTTTTTTTTTTTTAAACAGAGTTTCACTCTTGTTGCCCAGGCTGGAGTGCAATGGCATGATCTCAGCTCACTGCAGCCTCCACCTCCCGGGTTCAAGTGATTCTCCTGCCTCAGCCTCCCAAGTAGCTGGGATTACAGGCGCGTGCCACCACGCCTGGCTAATTTTTTGGTATTTTTAGTAGAGACGGCGTTTCACCATGTTGACCAGGCTGATCTAGAACTCCTGAATTTAGGTGATTTGCCTGCCTCGGCCTCCCAAATTGCTGGGATTACAGGCGTGAGCCACTGCAACCAGGCTTCCATTCTTATAGAAACGTTTTATGACCAAAAAATTAGTAAGACCAGATTGTCGGGGCCAAAAAATAAATAAATAAATAAATAAATAAATAAATAAATAAATAAATAAATAAATAAATAATCCCGGGATGGATGGTGCCTTCAACTGAATATATTTAAGCTTCCGTAAAAAACTTGTAGTCATATCCTTATTTTTCTCATTTTATTACAGACCAGGGAATGAACCAGCACTGTCAGCAGTTGGGACTCAGCCCTGTACATGAAAGCAAAACATGCAGGAGGTCCAGGTCTCATTTTCCAGAGGTTATGCCAACCTTGCACACCATTCTTTAAATGTAGCAATGTAGCAACACAAGAAAATACTTAAAGGATAACAGTATATAAACAATATACAAATACTGTATTACAATTTCAACTAAGTTAAATCGTCCACAAATGGGGCTTGAAAAAAATTACAGAAAATATAAATTTTCATCATGATTGCACAATTAATTAAAATTTTTTCTTTCATTTTTGTTTCCACCCTTACTCCTACTTCTAAAGAAAAACTGGGGCTGGGTGTGGTGGCTCGCGCCTGTAATCCCAGCACTTTGGGAGGCCGAGGCGGGCAGATCACCTGAGGTCAGGAGTTCAAGACCAACATGGGGAAGCCCCGTCTCTACTAAAAATATAAAAAATTAGCCGGACATGGTGGCACGTGCCTGTAATCCCAGCTACTTGAGAGGCTGAGGCAGGAGAATCGCTTGAACCCGGGAGGCGGAGGTTGCAGTGAGCCGAGATAGCACCACTGCACTCCAGCCCGGGCAACACAGCAAGACTCCGACTGAAAAAAAAAAAAAAGGAAGAAAAGAAAAGAAAAGAAAAGAAAAGAAAAAGAAAAATTGGAAACCGAGCAGGTTTTATTTAATAAATTAGCATTAGCATTTTCACATTGCTGTTAATGTTGCTATGTGTCCATCAGGGGGCAGTAGCGAACAACACAAGAATGGAAAGGAAAACGGTACTCACGGTCACCTGCGCACAGGATCTGAAACAGAAAAAGAAAACGGAAGTCAGCAGATTCATTCAGCCATGGAAAATGCAAATCAAAAATAAAGCAGTTGAGGATTTAATAATGGGGGTGGGGTGGTAAGAAGCACATTAAGCAAAGGTCGGCTGGTCAGCGTTAGGGCGTCCTGGGACATTAAACACAAGGAATCATTGCAACCTCGGGTCAATTACAAAGGATTAACTGGGTTATGTGGGGGCTGGCGGCTGCTGACTCCCAGTGCCCAGTGCTTCTCCCCAGACACATCCCCCCACCTCCAGCCCTCTCCCCAGAGCAACTCCCCAGGTCAGCACCTCCCTCCACCCACTGTGTGATGAGTTGAAGCAGAAGGACACAGAAGCAGACACCAGATTGTTGGGGCCAAAAAAGGGCAGTTGGGTGGGTGGGGGGGGGGAGGTAACAAGACCAGCACACCCCTTCCCCACACCCACTTCCCAGTCCTGACAGCACAGTGGAAACCAGATGTGCAGCAGAAGAAATCCACTGGGTTTGGGATTTTCACTGTACAAAAATTCATCTTTTTCTATCAGTAGGTGGCAGTAAAATTTTTTAATCACATGTCAAGCAGCTTTGGGAAGAATTAGTGTTTGGCACACAAGAGGCCTTAAAGGTTTAGCTGACAGTGTCAGCTGGGGAAGGCAGCAGCCCTCAAGGATATTCATTGTGATCCATAATTATTTCCCTATACTTTAAAAACCTAAAGTGATTGAAGGTTGTACACTCTATTGTTTCATAAACACATCTTTTTGGTGAATAGAATTTTTTTTTTTTTTAAGTAGGATTGTCACAAAGAATAAAATAATCAAAAAGGACCCCGGTGGAAAAAACCATCCTCCTACTTTCCATGACACTTAGAATAAAATTCAAACCCAACCACAACCCACCAGCCCCTCTGGTCTCACTGCCCACTCACATTCTCGAAACTGATTCTCCCCTAGAGCCTTTACATATTTACTCCCTCCCACAAACACACTCTGCCCAGACCTTTTCATGGCCTGCCCAAAACGCCACCTCCTTGGCAAGTCCTTCTCCAAGCAGCCATGGAAACCAACAGCCCTCACTCTCCATCCATCACTGACTCCTCCAACCACACTGTGCGCTCCATGAGAATAGAGACCTTGTCTGTGCCCCGTGGCTAGAATGGTGGACACAGTAGGCGCTCCATAAACGGCACTGGAAGGAAAGAACAAACCCAGAGGGAAAAGTCTTGCCCCAAGGTCCTCCAACTCTAACTTCCCATTCCCATCTTTCACCCTACCGTCAAGTCCTTCACATCTCGGGCCTACCATTTTTCAGCTCATCTTTCTCCTCCAGCCCCTGCCCTTCAATCTATGCTGAGCCTCAATCCACAGTCTATGATGAATCATAGGAGAGAGGGAGAAAAAAGAGAAGTCGATAGCTAGGCAAGTCGCACACGGCAGCAAACATTTTTTTGCCCAGTTAGGGGAAAGATTAAAGTAAAAGCACTGTGGGAGGCTATACTTGGAAACGCATTCTGCAGATAAAAAGGAACTCTAACTTACTAAGTACCTACTATGTAACAGGCACTGTGCTAGGCTTTCTACATCCCTTGTCTCAGCACAGAACCATGGAGTGATGGCTAAGAGCTGGGACCTGGACTTAGACCACCTGAAGGAAGTCGTTCACGGCTTCTGGCCATGTGACTGTGGGCAGGCAGCTTGCTTAATTAACCTCTCTGTCCCTCCCTGTCTGTATCTGCCAACAGGATGATCCCTGCTTTAACGAGAGTTAAGTAAAATGATCTATTTGCGCTGCTGTTGTCCCCATCATCATCCTTACCTCTTCACAGCAACCCTGTGGTGAGGCACTTTTATACCCATTTTACAGAAAACACCACTGAGGCTCAGATCCTCCTGATTGAAACCAATGTGTAATCTGAAGCTCATACTCTCCCCAGCATTGTTTTCCAAAGTATTTTTTGAATAATTTGTTTTTATAATTTATTTATTTTTTTTTTAAAGAGACAAGGTCTCACTCTGTCACAGGCTGGAGTGCAGTGTGGTACAACCACAGCTCACTGCATCCTTGATCTCACATGCTCAAGCGATCCTCCCACCTAAGCCTCCCAAGTAGCTGGGACTACAGGCATGCACCACCACACCCAGCTAATTTTTTTATTTTTGTATGGGGACAGGATCTCACTTTGTTGCCCAGATTGGTCACAAGCTCCTGGGCTCAAGCAAGCCTCCCACCTTGGCTTCCCAAAGTGCTGAGATTACAGGCAGGAGCCACCATGCCCAGCTTTTTTCTCCAAGTATTTAAATAGACCAACAACCCAGTTGCAGAGGGCACGGAGGCCCAGAGACAATAAGTGGCTTGTTCACGGCCACACAGCCAGAGAGGACGCACAAGAACCAGAACCCAGATCTTGACCTCCACCACTCTCCCTTACATCTTCACAGCAAAGTCACTAGTACAGATGACCCAAAGCTTCTGCTGGTCCCCGTAGCTGGGCAAAAGGAGCAAATACTAAGAAAAGAGATCAAGCTCACAACTCAGCAGTGACAGACACGGGAAGAATGTAGTACGGCCCACAGTTCTGGCCAAAGACTTCCCTGTACACCCCAGGTGTGGCAGAAAACCCGTTAGTCACCAGATGTGCCCAGGAACACGCAGTGCTACCCAGAAGGTGGAAGCTTCTCTGTCCCCTTTCCTGAGGGGAAACCCCTTGCCGGTGAGCCTTCCAGCCTTGTACACTGCCCTAGAGATGGTTCTAGTTTCACATCCTCCTTTGTTTGTGCTGATAAGTCGAACCCTTTCTTTTTTCTTTTTTCTTTTTTTTTTCCTTGCCAGCAGGAAAAAGCACTACCAGTCCCAACTATGGTTCCAGTCACAAGGATCCTCCTCCAGGCCTCAGAGAAAAATAAACTGTTAACACGGCTTTCTGCAGCATCCCAATTCAGCTAAACCTGCAGCCATGACATCAGTGGTCCACTCTGAACATTGGATTCTTCCCACTCAAAAACTAAGGCCGGGCACGGTGGCTCACGCTTGTAATCTCAGCACTTTGGGAGGCAGAAGCAGGGGGATCACCAGAGGTCAGGAGTTCCAGACCAGTCTGGCCAACATGGTGAAACTCCGTCTCTACTAAAAATACAAAAATTAGCCAGGTGTGGTTGCATACACCTGTAATCCCAGCACTCTGGGAGGCTAAGGCAGGAGAATCGCTTGAACTGGGGAGACGGAGGTTGCAGTGAGCTGAGCTTGTGCCACTGCACTCCAGCCTGGGTGACAGAGTGAGACTCCGTCTCAAAAAGAAAAGAAAAAAAAAAAAGAAACTAAGTCACAGGGATCTTACCAGCTGCATTTATACCTAAAACTTCTAAAATTTTCCCCAACTCCTCTACATGAAAATCCTACACGTACATACACATCAAAACAGACCCCCTACGTATTCTACTCTTCCCCTCTGACATGACTGTGTCATTAAACCTGTCTCCCAGTCTGCAAATCTGAATAACCTGTGGTTCTTCCCTCCTCTTCATTCTTTGTGGGTCACACAAAGATGTTTCCTTGCCCAGCGCACCCTGACTTCCCCGCTTCTGTACTGTGCCTATTGTAAACCAAGTCCTCAAAACCTCCAGCCCTAAATCACAGAAGCAGCCTCATCCTAGGGCTGAGAAACAGGGCATTTCCATTTTCATTTCTTGAAGCTCCTGGGGCACACACATACACAAAAAATTAGGAAGTACCAGAACAGGGTTGTACCTACTGCCGTATATTTTTGGTTCTGCTTCTGTTAGAGCATCACCCTGACTCGACCTATAACCCCTCATTTGGAATTTAAGGGACTTAAACGGGGGCCTTTTGTGAACACCAGTGGTGACAGCCAGGCCCTACTCCCTCATCCATATACCTGGTGGCCTCTCCCTTCAATCCACAGTAAAAAAAATAAACAGAACTGCGAATTCCTCTTTCCAAAACATGCAGTATTAGCCAGGATCCTAGCTGGAGCAGATGACACACTCAACCAGGGTGAGTGAGGGAGAGTTTTAAAGGGTCTGTTTTCAAGGGTGAGGGTGGCGTTAAGGAAAACCAGTAAGGGGTGGGCAAGAATCCTGGGGTAGCAGCAGCAAGAAAGGGCAAGGAGAGAGGCCAAGGCTGCTTCCCCTCATCTCCAGCTGGGGCCTCTCGCCGGGCTGGCCCACTGGAAGCTGGAGGCCAAGGGCACCCGCTGGTGTAGAACATAAAGGTCAGTCTCCTCCTGCTGGGAAGAGGAGGGTAGAGACGGGTGGGCAGGGTCTCAGGAGCCCACAAGAGATCCGCAGCACAGAGCTCCCATCACATCACCACTGAGAGCCCGTCAGCCTGGCAGGTGTGGACTAGGGTGGTTAAGAGGTTAGTTCAACTTCCACTGTCACTCATGAGCTCTGGCACGTGAGGGTCTCGTGGAGCCATTGGTTTCATCTACTGTAAAATGATGCAGGGGCATCTGCAATACATACCCCACATCTGAGTTGTCCTGAGACTCGAACAACAGAAGGTTCCTTAATTCCCAGCCTAACAGCCTTCTTCTTGCCTCACTGAACCTCCACAGCTACCGCCCTTCAATTCACTTGGTGACTTCCTGTGACTGCTGTGGCCCCTAGGAGCTCTCCAGGCTCTCAGCCCCTCTCCGTCCATCCCGCTGTCCATGCTGCTAACTGTGGCCCTGCAGGGCCCCAGGCCCCAGGTTAGGTGCCAAAGATGCAGAGGGTACTTAAGGTGGTCCTGACTCCCCAAGAGCTCACAGACAAGAAAAGCAGTGAAAGATCTGGGTGCGCCAGAACCTGGTGAGCTTGCGGGATGGAGAGGGAGGGACTTGAGGGATGGGGAGGGAGAGGCTTGGGGATACTCCAGGGTAATATGCAGGGGTAGAGTGGCAGAAAACATGACATAAAGAGTGACCCTGTGTGAGAATCTAATGCTGTTCCATTCTACTTATTATAATATTGACTAAACCCTTAGCTACTGGCCAATCACATGTCAGATGTTGTATTTATCATCTCATTCAAGCCTTACAATAATCCCAGCAGGGAAGAACTGTTTATCCCCATTTTACAGATGTAGACACCGAGCCCTGGAAAAGTTAAGGTCCTGACTGAGCATCTCACAGCCAGTAAGTCTAAGATTCAGTCCCAGGTCAGTCTGACCCTGAAGTCCTTGACCTTAACCACCCCCAGGGAGCACTAAGCTGGTTCAGCCCTGGGCAGGTCTCAACTGAGACCATGACACCCAAAGGCAGTTCCAGGGCTGCAGGTCACAAACCCCTGCCTGTCCTGGGCCTTGGGAACAGCCCCCATCAACCCATTTGAATGGACTGAATTAAGGCAGTTCGCACAAGTTTCTCAAAAGGAGCAGTGTTTGGGGGTAAATTCACGGAGCAGCCTGGATTTCAGCAAGTGACAAAGCTCTCCAGGTTTTCTGTTATCCACGTTGGGCTTTTAAGGATGGGTAATAAGTGACTGAATAGCACAATGGGTAACAATAGACTCTTTATCCTTCTAAAACCAAACCCACACACCATATGACAATAGTTATTTTTACCCACTGACGTAATTAACCAAAATGTGAACCGCTTCAAGCAATGTTTAAAATCAAATAGCAGTTTATGGGATTTGGAGCAGCACAGATTTCAACTCTGAAAGGCCATCATTCTTCCTGCTCTCCCATTTATCTGCCATGTGAGCATTATCCAACAACTCCCTATAAAACTGGTTCCTTAAAGGTAAATCATTAAAATGGCAGGCTGGGTGGGCCCTCCCACTCGACCCAGAAGCCAGACAACGAACACCCATTGTACAAAGCTCCCCAGAAGCCAGGTGTGGCATTGTGGGGTAGCCTGAGTATCTCCTGTCCAAAAGGCAGGGACAGGCAGGCCAGCAGGCAACCCAGCGAACAGTGCCTCAAGCACAAGGCATCAGGCACAGCAAGATGAGAACAGGCCGGCTTTCCTGCCTCATCTGCAAATAAACTCTGAACTTCATGCTGTCATCAGGGACTGCGGGGAAGGGTCAGAATAATTTACAATTCCAGGTCCCAAAAATGCCATGGAAGGCTTCAGTGGAAGGAACGAGAACCAACTACCCTGCAAAGATCCCCCTGGCTCATCTTTCCCCTTGGGGAGCTAGAGGCACGATGGCCTCTTCCAAGAGCACACAGAAAAAAGTAGCCAGAAGGGCTATTTTGGTGAGGCTGTGTGGACTTTGAGACGCACAGCTGAGGGTGAACTTATAACTCCCAGGCCAGAAGTTTCCATTGGGTATTTTTAGCAATAGAACTATTTTCTCAAAGACTCTTAGGAGGAACTCCATACATACGGGTATAGAGTTCCACATTTCATACATATCTGTGTATGTATATACTGGGTATACACCTGGATAAAAGCAGCTTTTTCAAAGTTCAAATCACCTTGCTTTTTACTTTGAACATAACTGATGTATAATCAAATGAAGAAGCAGATGGTTTCCAGTGAATTCTAAAATTTGATGTGATTCGCTATTTGGGCAAATGTGTTGGTTGGTTTTTTTGGTTTGTTTTGTTTTTTAAATTGTTTTTGTTGTTGTTGTTGTTTGCTTGCTTTTTTGAGACAGGGTCTCACCCTGTGGCCCAGGCCAGAGTACAGTGGCACAATCACAGCTCACCACAGCCTTAAACTCCTGGGCTCAAGCAATCCCCCAGCCTTGGCCTTCCGAGTAGCTCAAACTACACATGTGTTCCACTATACCCAGCTAATTTTTTTTTGTTTTTTGTAGAAATGGGGTCTCCCTATACTTCCCAGGCTGGTCTCAAACTCCTGGCCTCAACTGATCCTCCCACCTTAGGCTTCCAAAGTGCTGGGCAGGCATGAGCCACCACACTCCATCCTCAGCAATTGCTCTCATTACAATTTCAAATATACTCAAATACGAGAGTGCAGGTTGCTTTTAATTAAACTGAAAGCA